AATAAGTTTGGAACCCACCTGTGACAACTTGCTGCAGCCGATGCCAAGATTGCACGATTTTGCAACCAGTGCTTCATCCGCTGCATCCGCATAAATTTTCATTTCGTGTCGCCATCATGGCTGATGAGGTGCAGCCTGACCCAGACTCCCTAGCGCGGAAATGACGGAGTGGTGCGGACGACCTTAGCCTACTCACCCAGGTCAATAATGACCTTCCCTTCAAGCACGCAAAGAGCACTGCCGAAGCATGGAACAGCGTCGCGGCCAAGCTGCTGCAGGCTCCATCGTTTGCGAGAATTGGTCTGGCATCAGCATCCGTCAACGAAAGCAGTCAAAACGAACGTCCGGTAGAAGAGGTCGTTCAACGACGCAAGCAAGCAGACGGAAAAGCCGCATGCGTTGTCGGAAGTTGACTCCATGACGCTTCTTAAGAAGCACTTCGATCTCATGGCAGGACAGCATTTGTGGATGTGCGGTCGTTACAGCTGTATTTTGATTGGACTAATTTAGCGGATACTTACATAGAACCTGTTTGAATCGTATGACTTGCGAAATTCAATTTTTTGTTCATTCTTTTTGTGTTCTGAATATTAGGTTACAGATAGAACAGAACCAAGGTTTGCGAAATCTGTCTACTATTGTATGATCAAATTCATCCGGGGTCGATGACTGGTCAATATATTCTAATCCCGACTTGTTTAGAACCCAATTCATCACCCCGTGTGAGATATTTTAGTTCAAAGTATCTGAACCAATCATGCGTGGAAGCCGTTGGGCTAACTGCATTTGGCCATCAACAACATGAAGGTCGTGAACGCACGGAAGCAGCGGCGCCAACAAGAACGCCAGGAGAAGAAACAGCACAAGAACAAACGAGCTCAGCAAAAGAAGAGCATGCCAACCACTAATGGTAAAGCCACCAACCACGTTGCATTTAAGGGCAAGCGAAAGGCTCCACCGAGTGCGACCGACGCGTCGAAGCGACCGAGGATGGTCATACAGAACAAGTTCATGGAGATGATCCAAGCTCAGGCAGATGAAGGTGATAACATGCCTTTACACAAGTCTAACGCTGATGCAGGAACAATATCGTTGACGACGTCGGCCAAGGGCAGTACTCGCGCTTCGAAAAAGTACCGATCTGCCGAGGACGAGGCATTGAAGAAGCTGGAGGCAAACTTAGGCGTGACAAAGGCCAATGGCCTAGCCAAGCTGAATAAGTTCGTTTGACGTCGTCCAACTGGAAGCTCACAGCGTACGATAGAGAATTCGAAAACGACGGGCTCGGCAATGACTTTGCCGATTTCTTGACGAGTTTGGACGATTTATCCAAGTACGGGATTTCGTCAAATGGTTTGCCGATATCCATTGCGTAGGAGGATCAAGGGCAGCGAGGAATCCGAAGAGTCGCATGACTCGTTGGACAGTGACGACGACGGCAGCGAGTCGATGGACGACGAGATGCAGGAAGAAATGGACAAGCTTGCGAGCGAAGATGCATCGTTTTTGCAAGGTTGAACACACATTGAATTCCTATCTTACCTTTGCGCAGGGTTCGACGACTTGCCCACCGATGACGAAGAAGAGGACGATGACCTGGCCCAATATGACAGCGACAACTTGAGCGACGATGACGAAGTGGCCGAAAATACCAAGGCGAATCAACTCGCAACAGCTATTGGCAATGGCAGTCGTGGTGAAACATGCGACGATAATCCACCGGTAGACGGCTCTCTCGACGAACAAGACAATGACGACGATGAACCCGCAAGCTCCGATGAAAACACAACAGTCTCGGCAGGTACCTTACGAACTGCCCTGCTGGTGCCCGTGTGAATAGTTTCTGCAGTGGTAGAAGAAGACATCTACGGACGGCCTAAGGCACCTCCCGTCAGTGCGTGCTACCGCGCAAGAAATCGCCAGGATTGATGGGTTTGCCTTGCTCGGAGTAGGTTCCAGCGGCTCGAGTCGCTATGTTCCGCCGCATTTGCGACTCGCTTCGTCAAACAATGAGAACTTGCTTCGAGAAATCCGTCGCCGAGTGAACGGTCAGCTCAATCGCTTGTCGGAGAGCAATATGGAGTACGTTGCCGCTGAAAATCTTTTCGACAAATGTGGTTTTGTACTTCAGGTCCATCGCAATGGAATTTGAGTCGATCTATCGGTCGCACGTTCGTGCAGATGTCAACCGCGTATTGTTGGAGGCATTGCTTGCATCGTGCTGTCACGAGGTTTGCGCAGTGTTTCGCTGTGGCGATCTGAAGCTCCATGGTAGACTCAAGTTATGACGCAATTGATCACAGTCCATGCAGCCCTCCTCGCGGCGCTGTTCCATTCGGTCGGGACTGAAATCATCGGTTTCTTTATTGAGAACTTTGTGCAACTATTTCACAAGGTAAACATGTTTTGTCGACGCTTTCCCACCTCGAATAATCGTTTTAGAAATTGGAAACACTCCGCGCGACGACACCGAGCAACATGGACGAAGTGCCGTCGAAAGAAACTTCCAACTTGCTGCTCTTCATCACGAGCTTGTATGGCTTTGAAACTGTGCATTGCACGTTGGTATACGACATTTTCCGATATTTATCGGACAGGTACGTCGACCGGTCGTTTTTTCACGTGGAAAAAGTGAAAGCGTCGGCTAGTTTCCAGCCCATGGACGTTGAATTGCTGCACCTTTTGTTGCAACGTACGCATTTTACCAGCTTGAATGTTGTGTAAATGGGGATCGTACCTAGATTGCGGGCCATCTTTGCGCGCGGACGATTCCAGTGCTCTTTCCGAAATGATCACCATAATCCAGGCAAAGGCTGCAACTCATGAAGACAAGTACGTGGTCGAAGGAATTGTGGATTGTCTGTACATGCATGCGTAGACGTGTTCAGTTTTTGCTCGACCTCATTTCCAACTTGAAGAAGCAAAAAGCCAAGGCGAAAGGCACGTCCGCTTTGTCGTCGGATCGATTCTTGCAATTGCGAAAATGGATTGGCCGAGTGAAGAGTCGCGTGGGCCACTCGAACAACGCCTTGCGTGTTGCCTTTTCGGAGCTCTTGGCTGCGGATGGTACGCATTCAATCTGATCATTTCCCACTGTAAGGAGAATATATTTTAGCCCAGGGACGATGGTGGATTATTGGCGGAACATGGGTGCCTCCAGTGCGTTGCACAAGCTCCACATTCTGTCGTCATGCCGAGTGAAATAGAGCCAACCTGCAGCAAAGAAAAACGAAAGTTCTCGGACCAACAGTCTCCTTCGCTTGGCGGAGAAACAACGCATGAATACAGGTGTGCTTTGCCTTTCAAATGCATCTAGCCATGCAAACGAATTTGTAGATGTCCGTCGCTCCATCTTCTGTGCCATTATGGGTGCTTCCGATTTCATCGAGGCCTACGACGCTGTCGTGAAACTGGGGTACGTGCTTTGGAATGGCGTCCCGCCAACAAGGCGTACGTCCGATGTAGCCTCAAGGACAAGCAAGAACGAGAAATTATTCGAGTGATTCTCCACTGGTAACTGCATTTCATGTTCTGTAGTTTGCGCGTTTTGATGGCGTTGTAGTTGCGGAAGTGAAGCAAAGTACAATCCATTCTACGCCCTTCTCGCATCCAAGTTTGCTTTGAGTGACACGCGGTATAAATTTACGCTGCAGCTTGCGTTTTGGGACGTGTTCAAGCAGGTCAAGATCGACGCTGCCGCCGTCGTGTCGACTTGTGCTAACGTAACGGTATAGATGGCCGAGTGGAAGCCTCGGCAAGTGTTCAACATGGGCTGTTTGCTGGCGAGTCTTTTGGAGTCGGACGCAATGTCCTTGACGTGCCTCAAGGTGGTTGCTCTTCGTCCGTGGTTCTGTTTTTGATGCCGATATAAACTAGGTTTTGGACTTTACCGACTTATCTCCCGCAGCCATTCTCTTTCTTAAAGTTGTGTTTGAGAAATTGCTTTCGGCCGACGACGAAGCCGCCGTCATTGGGGTGTTTGAACGCATGGCACTGCACAAAGTCAAGGTACGTTGCTCGCCGGGTGACCATGTGACACATTGGCGCGTAGGTGCCAGGGCTTCGAGATGGAATCACAGTGTTCCTGCACCAGCACATGATGCCGTACAAATTCAAGAACCTGCTGGGAAAAGTGCGAGCAAAGATGGTGGCGGCCTTGCTTGACGTGGTTGGCAAAAAGTAACCAGGCCCGGCGCCGCGCTGGATGGATGCTCCAAGATAGATTTTGAATGCATGCACGTTCATCGTCTGTGGTGTTGTTGATGCGGGCTGGCTGCTTTGGACTTGAGGTTGCGTCTACGTACGTATTCTCCATGTCCATCCATCCAGCGCGATGCTAGAGCACGGCAAACATAGACTGCACACAAGAATGTGATCCATGTGGGAGAGCACAATCGGTCCTGTCCCGAACTGCGCGACGGCGGCATTCTGGTACGTTCCAGGCCAGGTTCAACGCCGTGGTCCATCGTCGTGCGGACGCGCGAGCAAGTCCTGCGCCGTGAAACCGATCGTGAAACGGTACGACATGTGGAGCAACGTGCGGTAGGGCGATGGCAACGGTCACGATCAAGTCGCATGTCGAAGTGCAAGATGCCGCGGGCGCAACGATGCACCGCCGCCCACTGCGCAAACACCAACAAGCCGTTGCCTCGCTCGCGTCTCTGCACGCAAATCTTTTCAACGTGCACGAGCCAGACATATTAGACCTTCGCGACAGCGGAGTGACCGACTACTCGCACGAGTTTCTGCATCACGATAGCGACAGCGACTGGGTCGTGTTGGAATGGGACGACATCATGCACCCCCACGCGAGGTACGTTCAAATCAAGCTTCTCCTGCGGCAAAAACGCACGTTTCAAGAGCCGCCCCCAACCACGGGACTGAGCTCGAAACCCTCCATCGTGCGTTCAATGCACGGCAACTTGGTCATGTATGGACCACCGACCACAAGAGCCAGTAATGCCCAAAGCTCGACAAGTTCACTCGACTACTCGGGGACATCGACGCATGGCGTCGACGATGCGTTTACGTTGGACTCGATGAACGATTCAGAAGCGGCAAGCCCCACGAACTCGCGCCGCCGCCCATCATGGACACTGTCGCAATCGTCTTTCGACAAGGACACGTTGAACGGCGTCGAATCGAACGCATCAGCACACACTGACAACGACCAGAACGCGCTCGATGCTGTGGTGTTGCGGTGCCGAAGCTTCACGCACTTTGATCTGGCCTTCCTGGACGGCAAACATTCCAATGGGCGACTGTACTGGGTAGATCAAGTCCAAGGGGACCTCGGGTATGTCGATCTTGACTCGAACGAGTGCTTCGTGCTGTTGGAGCGGCGTCGACATCCATCTCATATCAAGGTCGTGGGGCGTTGTGCTGTATTCATTGAAGCGGGAAGCGACGACTCGTCGGATGGCGGGTCGATCTCATGCATGAACCTGGACACAAACGAAGTCTCGGTGGTGGTGGCGCGTCTGTCGCATCCAGTTGGACTGTGCGCCATGAACAAGACGTGGTTGGCATTTGGGCAATGCGTCGCGTCCGCGCGAGGCCGCGTGTTGACGCTCTCCGCGATTTGCAATGTGACGTTGGCAATGCGTTGCCCAGAGCCCGACTCGGAGCCACGTGTCCGGCACTTGGTGACCACGGCGCTGACCTCCAACGCCGTCGAGCCGACCGCGATGTCCGTGTCCGAAAGCGGCGTTTTGTGCGTGGGGTTTAGCACCACGTCGTCGCATGTCTCGACCACGACGGGGGCGCTTTTCATTTGGATTCCTTCCCGCAAATGCACCGCCACAGACGTCTTCGAGTACACCGTCGCCATGTCGATCGAGCTGGCGACACCCCACTCGGTGCGCGACGTCGTGGGCCACCCGTCGTGGCCGTTTTTCTACTTTTGCATGGCCGACGACCGCGCGATGGCACATGCCCCTGCTCTCGGACAAGTCGACTTGCGATCGTCCCATCCCGCTCTGCTGCTTGACACCGAGCGATTCATTCCGTCCATGTGCATGGCCGGCACCACCGACCGACTGTACTATTGTGCTCGCGCCAGTTCCACCGTAAACATCACGTACGCATTCGACATTTGCGAGCCAAGCCATGGTCTCCCCCGCCAAGCTCGTGCCACCAACGGTCTTACCGACACCTCCAACTGTGTCGAGACCAACGTATCGCACGATCGTTCACGGGTCGAAGATGGGCAGGTCAAGAAGATCCAAGTCATCCTTCGATCGCGACCGCTGCTGCCGCATGAACTGGACCGCGGGGTCCGTAGTGTTGTGACGTGCCAAGGATCGAACGTGCATGTCGCACCCGTTCGAACCTACCAAGTGCCAAAGCACTACCGGTTCGACACGGTCTATGGCCCGGACGCGACGCAACAAGAGCTGTACCAGGTATACAGATCGAGTCGCTCCATGAACGTCATCCCTTGCGATAGACATCGATCCTGCCACTCATCCACCGAGTGCTGCAAGGGTACAAGTGCACCGTGTGCGCATATGGTCAAACCGGGTCGGGGAAAACGCACTCGATGGAAGGGTCCAAGGCGGAACCAGGCATGATCTCCCAGAGCCTCTCGACCATTTTTGACGAGCTCCGGGGCAAGCTCGACAGTCGCGTACGCATGTCGCACGTCGAAATCTACAACGAAGAGCTGACGGATCTGTTGTCGACATCGTCCCAGCGGCGGCGGCGCGGCGAGAGACATCCGCAAAAGGGCTGCCATCGTGACCACGGGAGGAAGGCGGCACGTGCAAAGCTCCGTGGCCTGGCAAGTACGACGACGTTTGAGCAGCCGAGCGGCGACGTGGACGAAATAGTAGACAACGACGTGGACGTCGCCAAGCTCTCGATTGCGCGGCATCCTTGCCACGGAGTGTTTGTGCAAGGGTTGGAAGAAATTACGATTCAGTCGGCAGCGGATGCCGAGACCCTCCTCGAACGAAGCTTCCACTGCCGGCAAAAAGCAGCCACACTGTGCAACAAGGTGGGACACTGTGCAGCCGTTGGGACGACGTGACCAGGTCGTTGATGCGTAGTTGTCGAGCCGATCGCATTCGATCTTAACCGTTCACACCGAAGTCACACGTACGTCGAGTGGCTTGCGTTCGTCGTCTGACCATCCCCCAAGAGCTCGAGTCGGGCGAGCCATGCGTATCGTACGGTCAGCTGCGCCTGGTCGATTTGAGCGGTTCGGAAAACTACGACCGCGCGGGGGCACAAAAGGAGCGCCAACAGGAAGCGGCCAACATCGGGCACGGGCTGTTGGCCCTCGGGCGAGTGATTCGCGCACTGGTCGAAAAATGGCCCCACGTTCCATATCGCGAAAGCAAACTCACGGTAACGACGGCACACGACGGCGTGGCCCAGAGTGCTTATCCAACTTGCGTAGAGGTTGCTCGAAGACAGCTTGGGTGGCACAGCCATGACGATGCTGCTCCTGGCCGTCTCACCTGGCGACGAAGCGCTCGAAGAAACGTTGAATACGCTCAACTACGCAACGATTGCGAAACGAGTGACCACGCGTCCGACAAAGTCGTCGTCGTCGACAAAGCTGGAGAAGATGGCTGGCTCGCTCCCAGACTGCAAGAGCCAGCCAACGTTGAGCAGCGCACCGACCGTGATATCTCCGTGGCAGGGCCGCGTTCCGATCCGGTCCAGCAAGGCGGACCTGAAGCGTCTCATCCGCGCCACGGACCGTGCCATTCACGTTCCCACGTCCGAGTGGACCGAAAACATTGTCCATGACAACGAGCGAAGGCTGACGAAGAAGGCGAGCCAAATCCTCAGGTACGATCCAAGTGATTCGTTCGAGGGAACGGCATCTGACGTCTCGGCGACCAAAGCGCCATCTTTGCCAAATTCGACTCGAAGAAGGGCGGTGTGCTGTACAAACACGACGTGCAAAAGGTGTACCACGATCTGTTTCAGCTCCCCAAGGCAGCAGCCCCCGACAAGTTGCTCCTGGACGACTTCCTTGCCAAGTTTGAACAGGTCCTGGCGACGAATCCGATGGTTGCGCGCCACGTGTTTACGTCCCAAGGCTACACGTTGAACATGGAGAAAGCCCGGCCGGGGACAGCGGCGGATCCGATGGCGGTCGACAGGTACAACAGCCAAGTGTCGGCACCACCTTGCTCAACGCGAATGCCGTCGCCAAGTGTGACGAGTGAGCCCAACGCGCACATTCAAGAGATTGGCGCTCCCGTCGGAAACTTTCGCGGGCTCCGCGACATGCGCAAGAAAAAAATGTCGACTCGACCGTCGTCAGCTCCGATCCATCGTGAAATGGCCCACGGATACCACCAATTCACCGACCGCATCGTAACACGATAACGAGGGCTCGTCGACGTGGAGGCTTTTGATCACATGAGCTGGTTGGGTTTCGCCCTAGAGTGCTGGACTCGTCCATGTTGACGAACGGGGTGGCACGGGAGTTGGGAGAAATATTTGCGAGTCGAACGACGACACATTTTTAACTTGTGCAGGTACCCATGGCGAACTCAATGGTCAACCTTTCGGGATGACCAATACAGCGTCGACAAGTCGTGCTCCAGGCGGAGAACTTGTCCCACGAGCCACAGAATCTCCTTTTGCGACGTCCCGTCGAAATCGAACGATGGAAGAAGGGCCTCCCGTAGCGATACCCACGTCGCACCCAACGCTGATACGCCAGGGAAGAGTTCTCTGGCATTCGGGACGGGACTTGACAGACCAATACACGTGCCATCTTCTTGCGACCCCAATGCGGCCGCGATGAAGCTCCCACGGATCTAGCATCATAGCCACAAATCAAGTGTCGCTCTCTACTTCAAGAGAGACGTACCGCAGCTAAGCTCGAGGAATCCACCACATACAGGGAGACGTGCAGAGCATCCAAAGCACGAGCTCGATCAACTCGCTTGATCGTCAAGTCGTTCAAGGCACATTTTAAAGACGAAGAGTCGTTGGCATGCAGCGCAGATAACGCACGCAATAGGGTTGGTTGGGGGGGTGTAGACGGCCCCGGCAAGATGGCTAGGTTCATCGAGGTCGGTGGAAGTGGAGTTGTTCCGGCAGAAGCGCCAAGAAATGCATGGCGGTACTCGTCGTAGCACATCCACCACTGCGCCTGGCCGTCGTGAGTGGGAGTGTACCACTTGGTCATGTGACCGGGCGAGTTTTGAGCTGTAAATGCGCCGTCGTCCATTGTCAAAGCGTTCAAGGACGTTGCCAGCAGAGTAAAGTGAAAGGGTAAGGGCCGATCGTCGTGCACCAGGTAGCACTGCACCTTCAGATTGGACACGCCAGAGCAAAACATCTTGAATGGCTCGACGGCGATTGCTTTCACAAACGTGACATCGAGCGCGGGCCACACGTACGTGAATTGATGAGTCGTCTTCGTCGTGGGTTCCCGCAGCACCACCAGCACACGCCTGATTGAAAGCGTCAGTGCACGACGACAAATGTCGACCACTCTCCATACCAGTCTGTGAGCCGAAGCGCCGGAGCTGCTGTTCTGTCCACTTGGATCGAGATCTCCAGCACAGGGGGCCGCCCACAAGGCGTCCGGCCATCTCGACCCATGCTCGTCACCGAAACTTTGCATGACATGATCGTGCGGATGCCTTTTGCCGCATGAGACGCGATCAAATCCATTCAAACTGCACCTTTGACCTGACAGAGCCGCAGGAACTTTCTCGTCGAGTTTGCTTTGTCAATGGCTTTGCTTAACGCCGAGGAATTCTGTCCCGACGCATGCATGTCGAACTCGGCCTGTGTAATCTTGGCCACTTCAGCCTTCAGCGCACTTTCAGTGCCTCTTTTAAACGGGGTCTCCCCTGGGATAGAGCATCAAGTCGTCCTCCAAGCACAGTGCACCATACCTTCGTGGGGTTGAATGCACGTGGAAAACACTCTCCCCGACCTTTGCAACACGTACAATTCATTCCGATCGGAGCCCAGCGCAACTTTTGCTACACCCTACGACTCGAATGACTCCAACAGCTTGTACACACCATTCGGCAACGTACGTGGGGAATGTGGCCGAGCGGAACGCAGGCGGTTGACGGAGAAGTCAGGGAGCGTCTGTAGCATCGCCCATGGACAATGTACACAAACTGCTTGGACGCGCGATCGTACTCGATCCAGTCAATGGGCGAATGGAGCTGGACGTCCCACTTGATCTGCTTGTGGGAGCCGACAACCACGAGGCGTCCCTGAGTACCAACGATTGCAATCGCGTCGACGGCATCGAGAGAACTCCATGACACACCAAACAAACGGTAGACTCGCTGGTTTTTGAAGCACCAAAATGTCGATGGCTGGGATACGACGGTCATTTTCGAGTCCAGGGCAACCACGCGTACTTGGCCATCCCTGTCTCCTTGGAAGAGCAGCACAGCGACACTCGTTCTGTCTCCACTCATCTCATTGAGATGCCCCGCTTTGTTCCCTGCATTTGAAACCAACAGCATGCAAGTCGCCATTTCGCCATCGAGGGCGTCGTACTCGCGGCGTTCAACCTCATTTTTGCGTGGCAGTGACAGCGCAGTCGTGGGCACCAGCACACTCAACGCAAAGACCACCGATAGACCGCTCTCCACCAAACAAGAAATGCTTCGAGTACCCGGAACGCAATGAACGGGGCCATGCTGACCTTTCTCGTGTGGCGCATCAAGTGGTCGCTTGCGGTTTGCTCGCACATGACGCGTCTGTCCATACGCAGCTAGTGCATCGGTGTCGACTTTACCTTCGCTATCGCTCAAGTCAATGCACACTACACTAGCATCACTACTTACTCATCGCGACTGGACAATGCAATCGTAATTGGCTTGGCGCCACTGAAACGTGGCAACGGGACTTGCCAGATGCTGCCGACGTCTCCTGCAATGACGACGCTGCCTACGAATGGAATCAGCGTCAAGATGCAACATGTGCATTATGAACGTACCATCGATCGAAGCAACGTCCACTATCGCTTCTTCGACATGAATCGTGCACTGCAGTATATGTGTGTGACGATGGCGTGAGGATATGTATTGACACCCACCTTGAGCATTGTACCTTCGACAAGGTGCAGCACGTTGGGCAGAGTGCTGATTGCATACAGGGGTGCAGCAGCCGTCTCAACGCGGTGCAGATGGGTCATATACCCTCGAGCAGGGCGTGCGAACTGGCCAAGGATGCACACGGAGTTGACAGCAGGCGGCTCCTCCATCGTCCAACTTTTTGAACACCCCGCGCACTTGTGAATGTTTTATTCAGATTTAAATGAAGGGCATCTATAATTCCAATATTGTGAAAGTGCACAAATTGTACGCCATGCGAATGTCCTGCGCAGCCGGTGCGACCGTCTTGGCCGTTGGGCTCTCCTACGTTGGGGTGGCGTGGTTGTTCTGCATGCATGCTCCGCTTGCGTATATGGTGCGTGTTACGGCGGTCTTTGTGCATCTACCAACACCCGCTTGACCAGGACGAAGTCTTTCACTTTCCGCAGACCCAGCGCTACTGCGAGGGACGTTGGGGTACCAATGGGTCCAACCGCCACGACAATCTAGCCTCATGCGCATTGACTAGATGTTTGGGACCCCAAGATCACAACATTTCCTGGTCTTTACATTGTTGGAACGTGGCTTGGCACTGCGGTTCACTTCACCCAGTCATTCGTTCAGCACGATTCACCGCTCTGTTCGTTGACTGTGCTCCGCAGTGCCAACGTCCTTTTCAGCCTCGGCAGCCTCTTCTTGATCGTCAAATTGCGCTCCATGAAGGTACTTGCCCCGACTCTTCCACATGCAATGCTCATGCACACGACTTAGTATTCGGCTAGCACGGCCACGACAGGGATCGTCCACGGAGTCGCGATTGCTCTGTTTCCTGTCCATTACTTCTTCTCTTTCTTGTACTACACGGACGCTGGAGCTCTCTTCTTCGTCCTCGTCATGTACTATTTCGCCCAAGTCGGTCGAACGGATCGTCTCCGTAGAGGCGCCTGGACAACGTCCAACCTCATCAGCGTCGCAGTAACAGCATCGCGTCCCGTTGCAGTCGTATTATCGACTCAAGTTGCATCTAGAGTGGCTTTGCTGCCGTCGGGTTTCGCCAGACAAATGTAAGCTCCTCGGACGAGGCCAACGCCTATCGACCACATCCCACGAGTAGGTTATCTGGGTCGTCTTTGTTGTGGGCTCTGAAATCGTCAGCGACTTGGAAGCCGCCCATGCGACGGCTCTGTATGGGTACAACTCTATTGTCATCACTGCTTCAGCGCTCCACGACGGATGGTAGACCGGGCGATGGTGCTGCAGCTTCGACTGCCGTTGGGTACGCCTCCATGCGGATACATTCGTCTCAGTCGCATTAGGCTCGACTCGACGCTGCTTGCGTTTGTGGTCGTCTTACTCAAAAACAGTCGACGACTGTTCACGTTGTTCTGGCCCCACCTGTCGATTTTGGTTGCATTTGGCATATTTCTCGTCTACAACGGGTCGATCACTGTGGGTACGACCGTTCTTGAGGTCGTGCGTCGATCGATCTGCTTTTCACAGGCGACAAGGCCAACCACGTGGCTACGTTTCACTTTGGTCAGATCCTGTACTTTAGCGTCGTCTGCGCCAGTGGCCTCGGCCTCGCGTGCTTGGATCCTCGTACGACGACTTCATTTTCACCGCTGAAGGGGGGGTGTTCAGTCCACATCCTTGAACGACATTTCCTTAGAGAACGTGGGCCGTTTCTTCAAGACCTTGGGCCACCGCCAATCCGTTGGTTGGGCATTTCTTGTCGGGGCCATCTTCCTTGGCCTCATCTTTTGCTTCAGGTACTCGAGTGTGTCACCCATGTTGTCCGCTGCTCGAGTGTGTCACCCATGTTGCCCGCTGCTCACGTATCGCCAAAGCGACGTCCACCCGTTCATGTTGGCCGACAACCGCCACTTCACATTTTACATTTGGAAGCGCTTCTTCCTCAAACACCCCCTGATGAAGCTCGTGCCGGCTCCATTGTATGCGTACTGCCTGTGGTTGCTCTGGCAAAACTTACGTACGTCTGCTGCAGTGCCTCGACCCATTTGATGGACGATCCTTCGTTCGCTTAGGCGCGGCCACGTCCCCTCTGCGCGCGACCGTGTTCTTCGTCGCGACGGCGCTCGTCTTGATCCCAACTCCGTTGGTCGAGTACGTGGTTTTCGTCATGTCGGTCGGTGTCGAGTGTCATATCTCTGCTTAGGCCTCGGTACTACATCGTGCCTTTCGTACTCTACCACGTCAACGCAAAGAACGTAAGCAGTGCTGCCTGCCGCGTTTCCTTACGATGCAGGACGGCTAAGATGCTCTGCTACGCTAGCAACCGCTGCACCACCTCGTGTGGATCTCGGTCAGCTATGGCGTTGTCAACGCCTGGACGATTTCCATCTATTTGTTCAAGCCATTCACGTGGCCCGACGGGACCGAAGCCAGGTTTATGTGGTAAAGATGAACAGCGATCGTCAATCCGCCCAGCGAGGGACGAGCCACGTTGTCAGAAATCGTACTTCACTGCCTTCAAGTACAGACCATGGGCAGGGGCCATGCGAGGCGCAAGCTGCCGGTTGCGGCCGTCGAGAATTCGCCCAATGTCATGGGGTTGCAACCTGTGTTGGCCGACGTCGACCAGAGCGCCGACAATGTTGCGCACCATGTGATACAAGAACGACGGAGCGGACGCTTCCACGTTGATCAGTTGCAAGTCGTTGCCAAATGCAAAATTGGAGGGAAGGTCGACGACTTGGACGCCAACGTGGTCCACGGTTTTGACCGGTGTCAGCGCTTGGCACTTGATTCCGCGAAAGCTCGTAAAGTCATGTTTCCCCACGAAGTACGAACACGCCTCGGCCATGGCGTTGACGTCGAGAGGCATGGGCACGTGCCATGCCGTGTCTCGGGTGAAGAGCGTCGACGGAGTCAAGTTCTTGGCCCATAGCCTCGCCTCGGATCGCTCTCTCGGAGCGTAGATCTGATAGATGTAGTCTCGCCCGCTCGCGTGGAACCGCGAGTGAAAGTCCATCGACACCGCTTCTACTTTTCGTATCACGATAGGTTGGTTGTGCTCGCGGAGCAACGAATTCATGCAATTACGAACGACCTCGGGGGAATGGGGCGCTTCGATGTCCTCGGGTCTGGGCTCCACGACATCTCTTGCCCTTCGATGCGTCCGTCGCAAGTCAACATGGCACACGTTGCCCTACAACTCTTGTCAGGACGCGTCGCGCCGCATTCTATTGCACCACACCATGGCATGCACACCCGCGTCGGTCCGACTCGACACCACAACGCGAGACATGTTTCCTGCTCCTACCAGGCGCTGGAGCACCTTCTCCAGCTCAAACTGGACAGTTGGAGCGTCGGGCTGCGCTTGGAATCCTTTGAACGCAGTGCCGAGGTACTCGACCGTGACCTTGTACCGTTGCATGGCCGGTGGTGTTGTTGGTCGTCGCTACGGCTGCATTCAGGTCAAATTAATCGATCGGATACTTTGAACGCTGCTTATTTCTGAGCGACGTCCACTTACACACAACAGTGACGGATGGCTTGGCGCCGCGCCAACTCCTCTTCTCCGTAAGCACCCTCGTCACCATCATTGCCTCCATCGGACGCGCTGCCTCCCTTCCTCCTCCTGCCACTTGAGCTTGCTTCGCTGCATGGATCGTTGAAAGCGGTTTCATTGGACAAAATTCGTCGAGTACGAGATGGTCGACTGGATATTTTATCCGAATTTCATGTCCGTAAAACTTCCACCGACCGGATAGGCTATCCGTATTGCATACCCTTCGAGGATACAAATTCCATCCAGATCTCGCCGACAACGACCCATGTCTCTGCTTGCGTCCAAGCATGTACGGCATGCCCTGAATGACAACTGTAATATGGCGACACGCGCACTAGGTGGAATTCGAAGTTGTGTGGAGGGAAATCGAGCCATCGGTGGAGGTGCTGGTCAGCGGCAACCACGACCCGTTTTCTTACGACAAGTGGCAGAGTGTGTATCGAGGCGTGTACAACATTTGCACAAACCCTGGAACCCCTCAAGCAGAAACGCTCTTCCAACATCTCCGCGATGTGTTTGTCCAGCGCGTGTCCGACATCGCGGACGTAAGCCTTCTGTCTTGCGTCACCCTTCTTAAGGCACACCAACCCAGGTCCTGATGGCTGAACACGGGGAAGCACAGTTCTTGGCTCAATACTGCTCGCATTTCAATATGTTTTCAACGGGCACGGCTTATGTGTCGGAATTGTTCAGCTACTTGAATCGGTATTGGATTCAATACGCCCATTCCGAATATGGCCAAGCCCCAATTCAAGGAGTGTACCCCATTCCAGAGGTAGGCAATTCCTGCTGTCACGCCAGATCCCTGCATGCGTTTGTAGCTGGCGTTGCGAATCTGGAGAGATGTGCTCTACACCAAGCTAAAGCCTCGAGTCATTGCAGCTCTTTTGCACCTGTTCCACCGGGACAGGGAAAACGGCGGCGACAACTTTGAGCACGGCGACCTCATTGCATCGACTGTCGAGGTAACTTGACGCGAGATCTTTTCAGGGCTCGCAATTGTTGTAGATTTTTGTTGTGCTCGGCCTGAACAAGCAAGATCCGCTCAAATTGTACCGAGAAGACTTGGAGGCGCACTTCCTCGCTGTACGGCTGCGCCTTCCATGTCATGTCTGTAAACCTTTCGTTGCATCAGGACGCTGCCAACTTTTACTCGGCACTAGCACAAGACCTATTGGGCAGCGTTTCTATTGCAGAGTACCTTGTCGTCGTTGAGAAGGTGTGTAAGCAGGAAGAGCGCCGCTGCGAAGGCAAGATGCATCGCATGTACGACCGACGACGGCATCTTTTTCACGAGCCATGTCTTCATGGTGAACGTAGCACGGTCTTGCAAACGAGACAAACATGTTGTCGTGTGCTGGTCGAAGAGCACGCCGAGCGAATTTGCGACGATGCGGAAGCTTTCCTCGACAACCACCAGATCCACGACCTACGCCGTTTGTTTGTGCTGTTTTCAGAGTTGCCCACCGCCCACGCGCTTGCCATGTTGAAGGTACGGCGGGTGGCGTCGTGCTCTCTCGGCTGTCATGTCCAACGTAGAACATATTCAAAAAATACGTCGAGCGCACGGGCCTGGCAATTGTAAAGCAATTTGAAAGCCACGACACAATGCGGAACCCGGAAGAGTACATTGAGACACTGGTGGCCGTGCGAGAAAAGTTTTACGCGGTCGTCAAGACCGCGTTCGAGTTGCATCCGTTGATGCGCACAGCGCTGGATCAAGTACGTGTGCGCCAGGACCCAACAAGACTCAGCAGTGGTAGGCGTGCCGGTCGTTTACGAATGCCCATCCGTCGTTGCCGGAGCTCTTGGCCAAGTACACGCACGTGCTCATGACCAAATCCAAGTACTCGACCGACGACGGCATGGAAAAGCGAGTGGAATCGGTCGGCGTTGTGTTTTGCCTGCTGGACGACAAAGATGTGTTCAAGACAATGTACTCCACGTTGCTGGCGAAGCGGTTGATTCAAGGTATGGCTCGTCTTGTGACTCTTGCGAGGTGGTGCCATGGTGGACAACATGGTAGGCGGCGCCGTCGCGATGGATCTCGAGCTGTCGTTGATTCAAAAGCTGCGGGACATTTGTGGATGCGACTTTGTCTCGAAGCTTCAGAAAATGTTCACCGACAAGATCGTGAGCACCGTACGGCATCGCGTCGATATGTCGCCAACTGACGCATCGTGTAGTCCACAAACACGTCGTACAAGGCGTGGAAAGAGGAAAACCACCGCGAACGCGGCTCGCCCGTCGTCGCGACGATCGACGTTGCAATCGACGTGTTGACCGCTGGCGCGTGGCCGATTCCAACGCCAGCGCAAAAAGACCTGAAGCTGCCTGCGGTTTGGTTCGACGAGCTCGAGCTGTTTGCGAAATTCTACGGCACACAGAGCACCGGTCGCCGTCTGCATTGGGTGCACCACATGTCCCATGGAATCGTGCGAGTGGCGGTCGCGGGCCGACGGTTTGACTTGCACGCCACCTACCACCAAATGGCGCTGCTTCTCCTGGTGCGAACGGCATATCGTTGACCACGTCCTAAAGCATCTCGTACACAGTTCAACGAGTGCGACTCGGCCACGATGGACGACCTGATGGCCAAGACGAGCTGGACCAAGCTCGACATTCAGCATCACATGCAGCCTCTCGTCAAGGTAAGCCGACATCGAGTGGCCTCCCATGAAGTCCTGTGCAGGTCAAACTGTTTGCGTTGTGCCTGAACGAGACATCCGACGTGCACGCATATTCGTTCAACACTGCGTTTACGTCGAAGCGATCGCATCTCACGGTTCGAAAATCTTTTCGTCGTCGATCGTACCCTCGTCACGATATATCGCTTGGTCAGGTGCTTCCAAAGTACACACAACTGAGCCGTCCCAAAGCCAAGTCGGCCGCGCCGTCGCGCGAAGTGGTGGAGGACCGAAAAATGACGATGCAAGCCGCAATCGTGCGCATCATGAAGTCGAGGCGCGAGTTGTCGTTTGCCACGTTGCTGTCTGAAACGACGCACATGCTCGCGATGCAATTCGTGCCAACCCAAGCGTTCCTGCAGCAAAACCTCGACGTGCTGGTCGACAAGGAGTACATTCGTGTGGCCGCCCAAGGGACCGCCACCATGCCGGACGCAGCTCGAGCGCATGCCGCCGTGTATGTCTACGTCGCGTAGCTGTGAGAATATACGTCAGTCGAGCACGCTTCCACCACTCCCATGCGCCGCGGTCAAACATCGCCATCGATATAACCCAAGTCGCAAAGTATGAATTCGATCGATCGACTACACCAACTGCCGATACTCTCGCGACCGCGTGTGATGCTGTAAAAACAACACCCCCGCGACCAGACCGGCGGCAAACATGGCAAAGTAGGCAAACGCAGACACAATGGGAAACGAAGCCGACGCCGTCATCGTGCTGTCTGCGAGCAGCACTTGGGGAGGAGGGTTGTAGGCTTGTTTCGCGGGCCACGCGGCGTAGTTTGTCGACTCGAGCCACCACGCGGGGTACCCCGGGACATGCATGTCGCCAGCCCGGTCGCCTTCAATCACGTAGCCGTCGTTGAATTTGCCCACGAGCTTGAATGCAAAGGTCCACCACCGATCGACCATCGCTTGAGCAAACTCGTTGTTGCGGCGTTCGATAAAGTCAAGGCGCGCCGACACGTCCGTGAGGTTGTGTACTTGAACGACGGTCTCGGCCTCGAGCGCAATCGCTTCGTCCTGAATCGCGTCCAGCTCCTTTTTCACGTCGGCGTGGATGAGGTCGTACCGCAGCATGCTCCAGTTGTTGACAAACTGAAAGGCCCACCACGCGGCCTTTGGGTTGAATTCGTGGCGGCGACCCACGAGATACGACGGTGGAATCGTGCGCTGGGCACACGAAAACGGCGTGTAGATCGACCCATGGGGGGCGCCCAGCGCGTACCAAGTCACACCGCCAACGTCGTCTGGGAGGTTGCCGCGCGCTTGCAAGACAAAGCTATGGGTCGTTCGGTGCATCGACACCGATCGTTCCCACCCGCCTTGCACGCCTTTGTTGGACCCGCCGTATCGCACTGGGTTGCCAAACGGACCCGCCGCCGTCTCCTTTGTCATGTCGTACGGCGTGCCTTCGTAATGGTCGCGCATCATGTCCATCAGGCGCTTTGGCGTCACTTTCTCGTCCGGCGCGACAGAAAATGGATACGTTTCAACGGTGGGATGCTGGCCCAGCGTCGAGTCAAACTTTTTGGACGGCGCAAACACGTCGAAGATGCGCCAGATGCGACGTCCGCCGTACAGGGGCTTGGTCGGGCCTGGTTTCGCCCACGAATACGCCGCGGCAAAATCAAACGGACCCGACGCTGGGTCCCACCACCCCATGTCCTTTGCAAACGACTCGACATTGGACGACGCCATAAAGTTGTCTGGGTCGGCCAGGTTGAGCTGGCGGATGACAAACGAGTTGGCGACGACAGCAATGTGATCGTCAGGCACGCGTTGCGCTGCCCACACAGCGCTGCTGTTGTTCGGCCCCGTCAAGATGTGAAAAATCCAAGATTCGCCATACTTGTCTGAAATGCCCAGCGCTTCCGACGAGCTCCCGTAGTTGGCGCGTTGGTTCTTTCCATATTCACCGAAAAAGCCATGGGTCTCGGCCAAGTCGCCCATGAGTTGGATGGCACACCGAGCGCTGTCGCAACGTTCGAGGGCAATCTTCGACAGCTCTTCAATGCCAAACAAGTTGTGACCGTAATGCAGGGACTTGGGCCACCCCACGGTCTTTGCCGCGCAGGTGCTTTCAGCAATACTCAACTGGACGTCGTTCATCATGCCATAGTCGTGATCAAAGTAGCCATGTGTGTACGGGACTTGAGGGATGTGGCCGATGATTTTCGACACGGGTTGATCGCCCACGGGCTCATACAACGGACCGCGATCCATTGTTACCAAGCGAGGATATCCATTTCGCTGAAAGTTGTGCACATGACGCACGGACCCTTCCGAGTGATTCATGGCTGGTACGCGCACCATGCGTAAATCGGATGGGTTCAAGCCAGCGTCGTTGGTGTGGGTCACCATGACTGATCCATCTGCCGTCGCTTTCTTGCCCACAGCAATCACCGTGCATCCTTCGATTTGGGGGGTCGCAACGAGCGCCAACGCCAGGACCGCCCACTTGAGCATCGTTCGTTGTCGGCAAAATCCGAAATGACGCGAACCACTTCAACTGCAGTCGCCATGGACGGTTGAAGTGGCCGGAGTTAGTAGTACTAATACCATATTCCCGTCAATATGACTTGTTTTTATCCACATACTATTTGCTAGTGAGAAATATTACTCTAGTATCTACTAGTCTTCACCGCACTCCATCCAATGCAGTTCTCGCGTTGAGCAAGCAAGTGTTCCCGCATTCCCGCGGTGCAATGGAAGGTACGACGGCGTTGCGCGCATTCCACTCACCAGACGTTTTGTACGAAGGTTTCCGCGTTTGACAACGACCACAGCAAGTGGCGCTGAAGTTGGCTTTGGATCAGCCTGCAACGCACATTTCAGAGCTCCTTCGTGCCGCTCGCATTCGACGCTTGCATGAATGGAATGAAGAAAACCTTTCATTATGAAATGCGTCACGGAGAAAGTATTAGGGCAGGCGGCGGCTGTACTGATAGTCCTGTGGGGTGTGGTCACCGTTTGGGTTTGATATGAGTGGGTCAGGTCGAGGAAACGCGTCCGTCCTGCCTGGGAACCGCTGCTGCAAGCTCGCGTCATCGTAATAACCCTCGGACGATGGATTTCCAGGCCCAAATCGGTCGGCGGCATACATTCGGTCGTGGTGGTCTCGCCGGTATGAACTTTGGTCGCCCGAGTTGTATCGCTGGTCGTCATTCCAGTCATGGGTTCGAATTCTGGCATACGGCGCGGCGGGTGGTTGAGGTGGCAACGACTGCTGCTGGTCCGTGGGGTACATGCGCAGCCTTGGCTGCTGGTCTCCCCCCGGGCGCGTCAACGAAGAGCTCTTGTCCAAATCCGACATCGAAATCACGTTACTCCGAACGGGCTGTCCAAGTGGGCGAGGCGGGGGCTGGTTGAATCGTGGGGCAGTCGTCGCAGAGTTTTCTGAACGTGGCTCGTTGAATGGAGAAGGGTGGTTCATTTGAGGCGGAGCTTGACTCGGGACAAGGCGGTTGTCTGGGTGGCTGAAATGATGCTGTGGTACGACAGGGCGCGGCGCAGTCGTCAGGTCCGCGTGGCTGTGGTGGGGGGAGTGGCTGGTCAATGGAGGTGGGTTGACGAAGCCACCGACTGCGGACGGATGATGACATTGGTCGTAGTCATGACCTCGTGGATGGTTTGGCCCCATTCGCTGATGAACAAATACGTCGTCTCGTATGTGCCTGGCGGGAGGCGGGAACCGGTGGTCGGTGGACGGCACTGGTGCCTGGATTGCTGACGGGGGCGGGGCATATCCAGTTCGACGCGGGTCTTCGTCGCCGTGCAGGCGAGGGTAGCGAGATGAATGGGAGTTGGGCGGCTCGGCATGCTGGCGTCGCATGGACTCGGGAGGGTACGGATCCGGATAACTTGGCTGGTGCTGCGGATGATGGGGGTGCGGTGGGTGGGGATGATGCTCAAAGTACGGCGGTCGAGACGACGACGACGCCGGTAACGATCGGATCGCACTAGGGTGAGAGGAAGGCGACTCTGCCTTGATGCGCTTCAAGACGCCAGCCGAGGGGGGTGGCCCGGCCTCTGGCGCCCCACGCTTTGCGTTGTGTCGGAGTCCATCCAAAATCGCAAACAACGTCGACTGCACGTCCACGGGAAAGCAGAGGCGGAGCAGGTCAGCGTGGCTTGTCAGGTACACAATCGTGTCGACGACCGAGGAAAAGTACTCTGGTTCGCGAGTGTTCTTGCCGGCCCACGGCGGGTACACATACAGCGTCGCGCCTTGCACATCGGATCTCCATCCGTTGTCAGCCAACGCGGGCCACGCATGCCGCTCGAAGAGCGCGTTCAGCGTCTCGATATCTGCAATGCCACAGAGTTAGCATTCGAGCGAGACAGGGAATCGCACCTCGCTCGGTTAATGTGGGTTTGAATGGAGGTCCGTTCTTCATCACGGAGGCGACGTGTTGCTGCGGTGGCTCGGCGGGCTTCCGCATCGGTTCCCTCGGTTTGCCATGGTGTATTCGTTTGTCTTCGATCAACAAGTTCATTGTATTTTCACGCGTGAGCTCCTCCGTGTCGCCATCGGCATACACTACCGTGAACAACTCAGTCTGCGAATTGTACTTGACCACCTAGAACGCATCCGTGTCAGCACAGCGTTCCACAGCGGCGGCGTGCGGTCACCTGGCCAACAAATCGTCCATGGCCGGCAAATGTCTTTGCAATGCGCTGCCCAACCAGCGATTCGGGCGGCTGGTATGTTGGATAGTCAAAGTCGTCTCGCCCAGCTGACACGTGGGCTGCATTTGGGTTGTTTGCCGATCCGTACGAGGACGACCTGGGCGACGCCGGCCGGTCGAGTCCGTCGATGGTGTTGGGCCGCGACGATGGGGCGATCCAGCTGCTGCGGTTCGACCCGAGATCTGGACGGGGTCGGTTTAGCAGACCAGGGGACCCATTCACTCCCGCTCCATTCGTCGATGACACTCGGTGCATGTCGCTGAGATGGCCAGGTTGATCGAGCAAGGGAGGTGGCCCCGTGCGACTGTTGTTGTTACTGAACGAACCCAGAGTGGCCGGAGGATGCAGCGAAATCGCCGGGAGCCGGACATCGCCAGAAGTTTGATGGCCAAGCTGAGGCAGAGTTGGTGGCGGTTGTTGTGGGTGATCGGACTGCTTGATGGGGTTGTCGAGTCCAGGTCGAACGAGCAGATTGCTCAGGACCGAGCTGCTACCTTGGCCTCCTCGCTTGTTGATGTCATCGTTAGCCGCCGCGACGGGTTCCCCGTAATGTGGCTGATCTCCGCGTCCACCCAAGTTGTTGTGCACCCGTCTGTCGTTCCCGTCCCGCAGTCCCCTAGATTGATCGGAATACGATTTGCTGTCTGTGTCAGACTCCGTTTCGGAGCCATTATCTTGCACACTTTGTCGGCGCTGGCGACCATGTCCACTGGTCGACGTAGACGACGAGTACGGCCCACAGTCATCGGTCCCGTGCTTTGGAATGCCGCTGGCCGCGGGCGACAAATCACGACGCGGATTGTCGATGATTGCAGCAAGGGTCGTCGACGGCACGTCATTCTTGTCCTCCATAACAGTCTACCAGCCAGCGTCGTCGGTATCGTTGCCGCCGCACACACACAGGCACCTGATCTGATCGCCGGATTTGCGTGGCCGTCGAATGTGCCAGTAGTGCAAACGGCCACAGGCTAGGTCGTTACAAAATCCAAGATATTCGATTGCCCACCCGATTTCACCCGCCCAGCCCGGGCCAAGCTGGAGTAAATTTGAGTGAAAATCGTCCCGTGTGTTGAAAATTGAGCAAATTTGGCAGTTTTTCCTCTAAAATTGACACATTTTCAAGTTCCAACGGCGGAAGGTGTTCGACCGCCCATGTCCCACGTTCGCACCGTCATTTCCCCCAACAAGCAGAGGCCGCAAGACAAGCAACGCGATCATGCTCGAAGTGTTGTGCGCCATCCTTGCGTTCCTGCTCATCCTGGCGCTGACCTTCACGAATGGATACTGGGTACGTGCGGCTTGATTCCCTTCAAGATTGCGATCGCACTGATGTGGTCGGATGTGTGGAGCTTATCACGCTGGACGAGCTGGAACTGGATCATTTGAATCCCGCCGACGTGTGCAAACGCTTGAACAGATTGGTTGGTAAGTGATGACTATGCTGTGTCCATCTTGGGCTTAACGTGTCGTCCACCTTGAAGTCCCAGAAGTGATTGCGCACGGCGTACTGATCGTTGCATCGTTGCTGGGGTTTGCACCGGGGATGCTTGTCCTCAACCTGCCGCTCGCGTTGTGGCACGGACGAAAGTGCGTCCATACTAAGTGGCTGAGGCGTCTCGAACCTCAAGGGTTTGCTGTAGGTACATGCGCAACGAAAACTACTTGGACCCCACCGACATCCTCCGCTTCAAGAACTTGAAAGCGACTCGCCACGAAGCTATCGCGAAGATTCTCTTCTATGGCCTGCTTATCATCTACGCCATGTTTTGGTACGTGTTAGTCATTGCGAAGGATGGGAATTCATTCGATGCGCAGGATGGTGTCGGCTATTGTCGCCTCGTCGAAGCGAAAGGTGTCGGGCTAGTGACCGGGTAGACCCATGGCAGCGTGCTGCCCCTTCTAGCTAGCACCACAGACGAAGTAGTATGAACGATCGGGATCATTTGTGTCGTCTTGTTTGCGGATGACCGACGCGACAGAGCATTCATCAATTCTTGTTTTTGAGTAAGAACTTGAGCGCAATGCCAAGCGCTACCACCGCCCCGGCAGCCAACCCGATCCCGATCGCGCTGTCCTTTGATAGAGTGTCCTTGACACATCTGTGGAGGTTCAACGCTTTCTCGTGCTTGGGGTCGATACGTAGCAGCCGTTCGCAGTGCTGTCGGCATTTGGCGTGATCGCCGAGCTCAAAGTACGTCGTTGAGAGGGTGAAAAGGCACTCGATCTTGTTGATGCCGTGCTCATCGAGCATGTCTACCGGCACAAGATCACAGCAACGTGCACGAGAGAGGGTGGGTAGCGTACCGATCAACAGGCCGACGCCTCGCGATTTGTTCTCCGCTTTCTCGTCACGGGTGAGGGCTTGTGCATACCGGAACTTGACGGACACGTTGGGATAATCCTTTTCCTGCTCAGCCAGGTAGTTCTCTCGCGCCGTCGCCAAGTCCACCACCGTGCTTCCCGCCGACGCGGTGTCCTTCATTTGGCGACTCTGTTACTTTATAGAATTGTCAACACCCCAACCTTGGTCAGTATTACTACAGTACTACTATTCAACCTACTATCGTACAGCACGTGCCGAACCTTTGTGCTTGACATCTGAAAGCCGACGACGATGAGGTAAGAGCGGCCGTCGGGATTCCTGCGGCGAATTCACCAAGGGTAGTCTCTGGGAGCCGTACTTTGATCGAAGTGAAGATGTGGACATCAATGGGGATGTGTGTACATGCATATTGAAACCTACAACGCTTCCCTTCTTCGTCTCATTCGAGGGTCGGATAGGTGTTCAAGGTATTCTACGCAGGGTCGCAAGGACCTTGGATTGTGCTGCTGCATGGCGGAGGCCATACAGCCTTGACTTGGTGCTTGACAACTGTAAGGGACGTTGCTTTATGTGCGTGCACTGATCGAATCCTCAACGGGGCAGGCGATTCTGAAGCAACATTGTCGTGTGTTGGCGTTCGACTTCCGCGGCCACGGTACCTACCTCGCTTCGAATCCGCTTTATCAACAGACTACGCTAGGACTGTCGCAATGCACGAATGATAGCGATTTGTCCGAGGCAACTCTCGTGTCGGACACGATCAATATCCTCAAGCGATGTGTTCCAGAGGAGTCCTCGTCGTCCCCTTCGAGGACACCAATGATTCTCGTTGGCCACAGCATGGGAGGCGCCATCGCAATCCGTGTCGCAGCCACTAGGCAACTACAATCCCTCGGCGGCATGGTCGTGATCGATGTCGTGGAGGGGACTGCGTTAGCGGCATTGAGTCACATGCAAGGCATCTTGAACCGACGACCATCGCGGTTTGGAAGCCCTGAGGAAGCCATCAAGTGGAGGTTCGATCTCTTGCCCCTTGGCGTTCTCCGTCTTGAAGCATGTGTTGTTGAACTCTAGTCTACAAACTGGCGCTGTGCGGAACGCCGAGTCAGCGCGGGTTTCCATTCCTTCGCAACTGCACCAGGAATCCACGGGCGAGTGGACCTGGCGCACCGATCTCTTTGCGAGCGCTCAGTACTGGACAGGTCCGTGCAGTCATGGCGCTGCTCTTGAGTCATCCTCGCCGTCGTAGGGTGGTTTACCGGCATCAGCAGCTTGTTTTTGAACGTGGCTGTGCCCAAAGTGCTGCTTTTAGCAGGTATTAAAGAATTCTTGAACGGTTCTTTTTCCAACCGACGGGTTCTTTTAATCACCACACGATATCTTTTTCTCAATCGGAAAATCCTGACAGGCACCGACCGCCTTGACACCGAGTTAACGCGGGGCCAAATGCAGGGTACGTCTGGCCGGGTCGTTCGCTCGATGGTGGTCAAGCCTGACCGGTCGACCGTAGGCAAGTTTCAGCTGTTGCTCCTGTATGGCAGCGGCCACGTTATTCAAGAGGACTGCCCAGACAAGACAGCGCAATCCTTGCTCGAGTTCTGCGGCCGCCTCACACCGATCGCGGGCCTGCAAACCCAGCGCGACATTCTGGCGGAAAAATTAGCGAGAGCGCGGGGCTTCGTTCCCCAGAGATAGTCATGATATTGGAAATGGACAAATCGACTCAATTGAACACAATACTGCACAGCAAGATGGCTGCAATGATTGAGAACGGACCCCACGTCAGTAGAAACCCTCGCAGGTTGACGAAGCCCCCGTTGAACAAACAGTAGAAGCACAAGACTACCATGTTCCAGTTGGAACCCCACACGCATGGGTACCCCATTGAGTTGAGGCATCGCGCAACGTGCGAGTGGCAGTTATCGCAGCAAATATTGTGCATGCGCTTCTTGTACACGTCGCACCCCTGTCGCACTCCTTCGTCCCACGCGTCTTCACTCACGGAAGCAGGGAGGGTCAGCTGGAGGTACCGCGTTGGCCGGCCAAAAGCAAAGTTGTCTTCGCCAATGTAATACGGCCCGGCAAAGTCGTAGATGATCCCGTTCGAGTCTGCAATCCCCATGTGTCCGATAAACGGGAAGAACCATGAAATCAGCGGTAGCGGCGTCCACACGATGCTGAACGGATACCGGTCGTTGCCTACGTCGACGCGTCGGGGGTTCGTCGGCGCCTTGTCCATCTTGGTGAAGTTCAGCTGCGTTGGGATGGCATATCCGGATAAACGGCTTATCCGCATACGACACATTCCACGATTCGAAAGGTCACTCGTTTTGGATCCGCCGTGCGTCGAGAGGTTCCATGGCGCTCTACTACGACTACAACGTGGACATACCGACAAACGCGAGGCAGCTTTACTCGGCATGGAGCGAGGTGGAGTCGGTCCTTGCTGTCGCGTTCGACAACCACGAAGTGCACTTCTTCAATGACGAAGTACGAGTGCCCGACCGATTGAACTTGATCGAGCGTACACGTAGGGAGAGCGCCTTCAGACTCCTGTTCACACACGAAAAGCAGACGTGACGTCGATTGCGTGGCAGCCCCGTGGAGCAGTCCTCGCCGTGACATGGAGCGACGGTTCGAGACACATTCACGTACCCAACACGTCGATCTTCTATCCCGACTTGTAGGGATGCTGTCCCTGTGGATCCAGAAAGAAAATGTCGCCAGAGAAGTCAACTCCCCTCACACGAGCCGCATCAACTTGCTCAAGTGGGCGCCGAGTGGCAACAGATTGATCACGGGCGACGAGAACGGGGTGCTGGCCGTTTGGAAGATCGACGCGAGAGGCCAAGTCGGTCTGTGCACGCAGTACACGCGGCAAGGGAGCTTGACGCAATGCGTGTTTTGCGTTGTACCGCAGCGTCGAGACAAAGAAGTCAAGAGGTCTGTGCTCCTCTCTCTCGTTCTGCCGTGCGTTAACGCGTCGATTCCAGCGACAGTCAGTTTGCCACGACGGCATGCCCGTCGTTCTTCTTTGGAGGGGACCTCGGCACCGTGCATTATGCTGACGACTTGGGGCACATTTCTGATGTCCAAACACTCAATCACGCCATCGACTGCATGATGTTTTACGAAGAGAAGCATCGGTACGCGAGTGCTGCATCCGCTGTCTCGGTCACGACGACCTGGATCTGATTGTCAGGTTGGTTGTCATCACGCGCGCGTCCCAGCTCGTGCAGCTACAAATCGCTTCCGACGGAACGGTCAAGCCCATCATGAAGGTGAAACTGAGTGTGTCTGGGGACGGTGGTTTGAAGGAAGCCATTTGGGCAGGACCAGGTCGGTCGGCGCCGGTTTGGTGCGTGCTCAACGTGCCGTAGGTCTGTTGGCGACAGCATCTGGCGAGCAGCTCCTTCGATTTTGGGACTTGCAAAAGGAAGAAAACTATGTGCTGAGCCTGGCAAACGGCGGCGCGGCTCCCAGCGACCGGGTGTCGGCTGTCGATTTCAACCCGCGAAAACGCATCTTGGCCGTGGGTACGAACGAAGGCAAGGTCGTGTTTTGGCGCGCCACGAGCTCCGCCCAGACCAAGTCGAGCCAGTGGTCGCTCGTCGCGGTCGCCGATATGCATCAGAGCGTATCCAAGATCGGGTGGAACCCGCTGCACTCGTACTTGTACGCGCATGCCCACGGCGCCGGCGTCACGGTATTCCACGAAGCCATCATGAACCGATCGCTCCACGACGACACGGCCGTGATTCAAACGCGGCCCATGTCGCTGTCGGTGGAAAAGCTCCAGGATGGCACGGTGGTGCAGACCACGATCGAGGCATCGATTCGCATCAAGGGCGTCGCCCATGACGGCAACTTGATCCTGGTCTGGAACGGATCCAAGGCCGAGGTGTACGAGCTTCAGAACGACGTCGACGCCAAGCGCCTGAGCAACTTCAAATGCACGTCCAACGCGATGCAACTCCGCGGCGACGTCATCTACCGCACCAACGGCAACCACATTGAAGTGACCAACACGAGCGGCGTGGTCAAGAACACGATCTCGTTCACCGAAGCCGAGGGCCAGCCGAGCCTCATGCACGTCAACAACAAGTACTTGACAGTTGGCACGGACGCTGGCCTCCTCCGCGTGTTTGATCTCTCGAGGCGTGAGCCAAAAGCGTTTGGGAGTCTCGGCGACATTTCGGTGCGCGCCGTCCGGCTTTGACTGACGTTGACGACTCGACATATCGTAGAAAGCATTCGCCGGCATGGACACCAAGTCGACGCTGCGGTCGCTGAGCGTCAATTGCGACGGAACGCGCGTGAGTTTTCTCTTGGACACGGTCGAAGGAGCGCTCCGAGTGCGCACGCCCCACACCAAGCTGTACCTGTTCAACACGGACCTGAACGCGTTCCAGTCGTTCGAATTCGGCCCGGCGCGCCATCCGACGTCGCACTTTTGGGACCCCCATGAAGCCCGACTCATGGCGTGCGAGACATTCCAGGTACCCGCCACTGTCGAGGCACGTTGAACGTGCTCAAACGGGTCGGGGCAGGACAAGTTGGACGAAGCCAAAGTCGTCGTCAGCGCCGGCGAGGCCGACGACAAGAACGCGCCGCCACAAGTCGACGCCACACGGCATGCCGAGCGTGAAATCACGATTCTGTTTGCGTCCAACGAGCGCGGACTCCTCATGCAGGACAACTTTGACCTGGATGTCAAGTACTCGGCGCTGTTGGGCATCCACGTCCCGCGCATGTACCTGGCATCGTCGCAAGAATCGATCAAGCGAGAGGCCAAGGACAGCGCGGACAACGCGCCGGTCGCGCTTCTTCGGACGAAAATCATGCAAGACTTTGTCGGCCTCGACAAGGTCGACGGTCCGACGAGGCAAGCGCTGATTGATTTCTCGTACTACATCACGATCGGCAACATGGACGAAGCGTATCGGTCCGTCAAGTTGATCCAGAATGCGTCGGTGTGGGAGAATATGGCCAACACATGCGTCAAGACCAAGCGGCTCGACGTGGCCGAGGTATGCCTTGGGAACATGGGCCATGCGCGCGGCGCGGCGGCTGTCCACGTGGCCAAACTCGAAAACCGTGAAATCGAAGCGCCGATCGCCATGGTCGCGATTCAACTTGGTCTTCTCGACGACGCGGCTCGGCTGTACAAGGAGTGCAGCCGATTCGACTTGCTCAACAAGCTGTACCAGGCCGCAGGGTACTGGACCAAAGCGATCGAAGTCGCCACCAAGCGCGACCGGATCCACCTCAAGACGACGCATTTTGCGTATGCAAAACACCTTGAAGACGAAGGGAACCTGAAAGAAGCGATTCGCCAGTACGAATTGGCCGGAACCGCCGCCAAGGACGTCCCGCGCATGCTCTTTAGTCGGGGAAAACTCGACATGCTCAGCAACTACGCCACCAAGTCGGAGGACCCGCGCCTCCTCCTCTGGTGGGCGCAGTACCAAGAGAGCAACCAAGAGTTCGACGCTGCCATCGAGTCGTACCGCCGTGCCAAGGATTACCTGTCCCTCGTCCGCGTGTTGTGCCACAAAAAAGACTTTGACCAGGCTGCGCAGGTCGTCGTCGCAAAAAACAACAAGGCGGCCGCGTACCATCTCGCGCGGCAATACGAAGCCAACGACAACATCGCGGGCGCGATTCAGTTTTACGCGGCGAGCGGGTCGTACAACCACGCGATTCGGCTCTCTCGCGAATTCAACTTGGACGGCGACCTGATGAACTATGCTCTCCTGAGCAAGCCTGGCCCCATGCTCGAGTGCGCCCAGTACTTTGAAGGCAAGCGCGAATTTGAAAAGGCGGTCGTGCTATACCACAAAGGCGGCCACGTGGCCAAGGCGCTCGAGCTTTGCTTTCACGCCAACTTGTTTGACGAGCTCCAAACGATTGCAGACGAGCTCGGGGCGGGTACCAACACGTCGCCGATCGTACTCGCGAAATGCGCCGACTTCTTTGCCAAGAATGGCCAGCATGCCAAGGCCGTGCCGCTCTTAATCCGCGCCAACCGCCTCGCGGACGCGCTGGACATGTGCGTCCAGAACAAGGTGAAAATCACCGAAGACATGGCGGACCAGTTGACGCCGCCGAAACCAGCCGACGACGCCGACAAGGCCGCAGTCAAACGGCGCGTGGATGTCCTGATGAAGCTGGCCAAGTGCTGCAAGCACCAAGGATCGTTCCACTTGGCCACAAAGAAATACACGCAAGCGGGGGCCAAGCTCAAAGCAATGAAGTGCCTCCTCAAGTCGGGCGACACGGAAAAAGTCATGTTCTTCGCCAACGTGTCGCGCAATAACGAGATCTTCGTCCTGGCAGCCAACTACCTCCAAAACCTGGACTGGCGCCACGACCCCGAGATCTCCAAGAACGTGGTCGGGTTCCATACCAAGGCAAAGGCATTCGATCAGTTGGCTCGGTTCTACGATTCGTGCGCGCAAGTCGAGATCGACGACTACAAAGACTACGCCAAGGCGAAGCAGTTGCTGGAAGACGCGATGAAGGTCGCAAGCAAGTCGACAGGGCCTGGCAAGGACAAAACGGTCGCTGGGTTTGAGCACCGCATTGCCGCCATCGACACGTTTCTCCATGCGAAATCGATGGCCACGTCCGACCCGGCCGAGATGGTCCAGATCCTGCACCACCTGCTCGAGGACGCCGACATTGACTCGGCCATTCGAAGTGGAGACGCGTTTGCGCTGCTGGTCACGCACGCGTGCGACCGCAACGACTACCAACACGCAGGCGAGCTCGTTCACGCCATGCGCCAGCGCAACATCTCGGTCAAGGCGTTCATCCACCAAAAAATGCTCGACGACATTCAAGCCAAAGCCGACACGATGACGCCCGAACGAACGAGCGACGCGCGGCCCAAAACGACCTCCGACGCCAAGGACGGCGGCGACGACGACGAGTTGCAAGAAGACATTGAAGAAGAAGACGACGGAATTCGTTCCCGAAAGTAGACAACAGCATCGTCTTGTCGATAAGCCTCGCGGCATCACCATGCATTGCATCCTTCTCCTGTCGTTCCCGTCATGCAGAGAAGGACACGACGGGTCGATGGCGTTTGAAAACGGCGGCGCTCGACGCGAAACTGCAATCGAAACGATTGCAGTGTCGTGCGCCGTTTGATACGATGGCCACCACCAGCCCAGACGACATGATCGAGTACTTGGACAAGTGCAGTCTGTCGCAGTACGCGACCCCGTACTTGACATGCTGCTTGTGCAACAGCATCAACTTCATCGACGTCCCGAGCATTCGCGGCATCCGTGCCAAACGGTCGTCGACCGAGTACGAGTCCCTCCCTCCGTGCTGTGGTTGCGGCAGCACGCGGCATCTGCGCACGGGTGCCACGAGTTTCCACACCGAGCTCGAACTCGAGTCACAAGCGTTGGAGGATTTTGAAACAAAGCGCTTGCCGGCCGCGATCGAAATCCAGGTAGTACGACCATTGGCATGCACATTTCTCGTCGGCATGCTCATCGTGTGTCGATCGCCATAGCGCGTCGTGCGAGGGCGCCTGGGTCGCGTCGACGCGAAGCGCCGCCGACTTGAAAAGCAGCGGTGGGCGCGCCGCATCTTCCGGGCAGCTGCATGCATTCAGAAACGCGTGCGCGGCATACAAGCTCGAACGCGGAGTGACATCGAACGGTGCATCTTTGTTATCGTGGTACCCCGCCGCCCGAGCTGCTGGAGTCACACCGTCTCCCCGTAGAATGCGCACCCTCTCGTGTATGCCTTTGCCACGGCCGCAACGACCGGCAACTCTGCCCAGCCACGAGGAGAACGGGACATCTTTTGGTACGACAGCGCCGACGAGTTGAGTGTTTTCTGCTGGGACTACCGAGAGTTTGTCCGACGAACGGGGGGGCGGCCTCCTCTGTGGCGCGTCGAGGCCAACGTCCGCGAAGTCGCAAAGCGCATCCTACAGCGAGAACATGTCCTCGTGACACGTCTACAAGCGCGGTGGCGAGGCATCACAGCGCGCAGCTCGATCTACGAGCTCAAAAAACAACGTGGGTGGGTCCGCAGTCTGCAGCACGCCCCTGTCATCAAAATCCAGCGGCAGCTTCGTACGCACCAGTGCCGTCGACGATGCAAGCGGCTGCGGCGGGCGGTTGGCCGCAACGTTCGCATGGAGACTACACCACGATCCACGAGATGCGCGCACACGTAGAGAGACGGGCGTACTTGCAGCAGACCCTCATGGCCAACTACCGCCACCATTTCAAGCACAGGACCGCCGTCAAGCTCTTGGGAGGAACCGTCGACCGATTCCACGCGTTTGGGAATCCTGCGCTGAGGAAAAGCGCCGCTGGCGGCCATCCCCCGACGGCCACGTCCCATGTGCCCAACCAAGGCATCCCCGCCGCGACGAGCAAGTTTCTCGTCGCCATGCGACAGCACGACGCTGTCTCCAGTCGACACCAGCGCCTCCATTTTCCCGACAAACTGCGAGCCCGCGTCCTCGATGCCACCCACGACCGCGTTGAGACGTAAATGCCGTTGGTACATTAAACAGACGTGTGCCCGCGAGCATTCCACTCGCTCAGTCGACGCAGCGACTCGCGCGACACGCTTGGCGACGTTCGAGCCAACGCGTCGGTGAAGTCGGCTCGAGTAATTGGCCGGACGTCGTCCACGGCTGCACACTTCAATCGGTCGCCCAGGCTTCGCAGCGGTCCCATCGCAGCTTCCTTGCACACGTTCTTGATGTCGCTGCCGGAATATCTACCACGCATGGCATCGAGTGCATCCACCACCACGACGAACGAAGCACACGACGTACTGGTCGGTCGCTGCAGCAACAGCGGCGATGTCGCGATCTGTCAGCGAATGCTTGTGCGGGCGAAGAAGATGGCCGATCAGGTATTTTCGCGCAGCTTCGTCCGGCAAAGGCACTACAACAACGCGACATCGGTGCGCGTCCCCGATCGAGTCGATCAAGCAGCGTCACCGTAAACTCGCTTTTCCAGCCGTCGCACGATGGCTTCGTCGAGGTCGTGGGGTAAGTTTGTCGCGCCCAAGACTAAAATGCGGTCCTACAGCGATCGTCCAAAGCACGCACACGGCGCATGACCAACAGCATGGGGCAAACACCTCAGAGGAAGACCCGACTCCGTCCAGTTGGATCAAAAACTACAAACAAAAGTGAGCCCACGATGCCGGCAACGCGTGCGGGCCGCACTTCGTTCTTCAGGCGGCGTGCGGCGTCGTGCTCACCGGCCGACCGGATCGACAGCAACGAGTCGATTTCGTCCAGGAAAATGACCGACGGCTGTAGTTCCCGCGCCATGTCGAACAGCGCGCGGACGAGTTTTTCGCCTTCGCCGACCCACTTTGACGTCAGCGTCGACGCAGTCACACTGCCAGCAGCGAACGATGCGTCATTTTATCGGGAAAACAAGCAATAGGACGTCCGACCTGAAAAACGTCGCGTGGGACTCGGTGGCGACGGCCTTCGCCAGCATGGTCTTCCCTATGGACACCATCACCATGACGGACGAACGGGCAGGAACGAACCTGTCCCAGGCGGACCAAAGAGAAGTGCACCCTTTGGAGCGGCTCGGAGCCCTAGTCGTATCAGCGAGACCACACCGTGAAGCAAAGGAGAGGACGACGATGCTGCAAACCAGTAAATAAGTCTGGCCGCAGGAGCGGCAACACGACGGCTTCCTGTCGATCATTTCATCAAAGGCTTCCGTCATGACACCACTTGTAAAATGTACTTGCAGCATCTGCTTGGCATCGTCAAGGCCCGCGATGTCACCCCACCGGACGTCGGGAGCAGTTTCCAACACGTCGTCGAGCACAGCATGCGCCAATGTTGGGTTCGTTGCCCTGGTTTTGCTGTGTGGTCGTGAAGGCGCCTAAACATGAAATATTTGTACGTTGTGTCTCCAGCGTACGTTTACGTGAGGCTGATGGACACGTCCAGCAGGGGATGCAACTGCTTTCAGCGTCTCGGCGCGTGCCATGAAGCCTTGGATCTTCCGCCGCATGTCGCGCTGCATTTCAGGATCGTGCACATCTATGTCAGGTTTCCATGATCCAGTGACAGCACGCCAAGCGCTTGCACAAAACCTTTGACCTGCTTCAGCATTCTCTCGATGACCTGAACGTACAGGTCGATGGCTGCCTTGACGTCTCCGCGTTCGTCTGCTGCAATCGCTAACGCCGCTAGATCATGCAGCGAACTGTTTGATTCTTTCTTTGAAGGCACTGGGGCCGGCAGCTCTTCCGTCGCAGCTTTCGAGGACTTCATGAACGAGAAGAGGAACATGGCCGACGGAAAGGATGACCTTTGTTCTCAACAGCCCCCGAATGCATACTTTTCGTGATTTTTCTGTACTCTTTTCATCAAAATATTGCCTTTTTTGCCGCCAATTGGCAACTTCAAGTTCAGATCGCTGTGTCATCCATGAATTTCAAACTCCCGTTGGGCGTTGGCTGGCCGCGATGTCATGCCAGGAAATGGAACGATTGCACCTAGAAATATACGCGAATGTTGAGCTCACATCCTCTTACGAAGCTCTACGCGCTCTAATCCATCGTCGCCGGCAACGCCGACATTCCTATCACGCCTTGAAGCCTTTCACAATTGTTACAAAATGCTGCATATAAAGTTCTAGAATGTGTTGATTTTAGAAGGTGTGCATTCTGGAGTATATCAATCCAACGTACCACCACCATTTATAATGTTTTCAAGGGTATAGCGTTTAGAAGGTCCTCTTGGAAGCACCATTCCAACCGGCGGATGTCGCCCTGAGTGACCTTGTGTGGAAGCACCATTCCAACCGGCGGATGTCGCCCTAAGAGATCTTGTCCGCCTTGCTATCGTCTGACGCAGCGCACACCCCTGGCCTTGTTCGCGACACTTGCGAGTCCGTTGGTGATGGTACATCAAAAATCAAGTAGGCCAATATCACGGGGGATGAGCCCGGAGGTCCTTCTCTCAGCGAGTCTCGGCCATTGTCCGATGAAACAACGCGGTGAAATTCCTTCGTCTTTGCGACGGAAGGTCTTCCTATCAGTCAGACATTTGAAGGGACAAATGATGTTTCATTCGCAACATTAACAGCATTACTTGAATGCATCGCGCACAAGCACGACGCTGTTGGCATGCCCGAAAGATGCACAACGTGCACGTATCGCACACTATCGAACGCATGACAATGTCGAGAGCGTGCGAGGTTCATGCAGCTCAAAAGTCGCCTGCAAAATCCCCACCGCCTGAAAAGCCTCCTTCTGTGGCAGCCGCAGGGGCAACCGCGTACCCTTCGCCGTGGTACTCCCCGTGGCCTCCGTCCGCCAACGCGGCGCCAATCGCTACACCTCCGACCATGCCAGCAGCAGCCCCGATGGCCACACCAGCCGCAACGTCACCTCCGCTGTACCCCTGCTGCACGTAGACGGGTTGCCCATATGCAGGCTGGACGTACACAGGTTCTTTCTCGACAAGTTCATCGGTATGGCGACAGCAGCACCAATAGATGGCAAACACAAGCAGAAGGACGCCGACCGCAACGCCGACCCACACCCACGGGGAAATAGATTTCTTCACGATGACTGCAGGGCTCGCAATTGGTGCGGGGACAGAACTGCACTGGCAAACGTTTTGAGTGGCTGTTTGGGGGGCGCACTTGGCACTCGACGGACAGCAGCACGCCTGCGTGACACCAGAGCTCAAGAACTTGTAGCAGAATTGACCAGGCGCGCCATTGTATGCGGCGGTGCACTGGGCAGGGGCGCCGTTAGCGTTGGCACACTGCTGGCATGCGGTCGTCGGGTTCGGGAAGGGAAGAACTGGGTTCTGAGCGCAGGCGAACGAGAGCAGCGCCACAAGGACGAAGAGGACAATGCGGCGGGACATGCTTAGGACCAAGCAATATCCAAAATGATGCGCCAGTAGCGGCTGACGTGGCTGATGGGTAGTCACACTCTCGTTCAGGTGTTGGCAACCTTTGCACTTCTTGACAAGGTCAACCAAGCTTTTATGAGCGAATGGATCCAGAATTGGATTTAATATGAACATGTCGTTTGCAAACTCCTGATATTATTGCATACTTTATTGAAGTTTGGCGGCCTTTATGGTAAAAAAGGTAAAAAAAATACACTAAACTCTGGCCAGTCTCCTCTACTGCAATAATTTGAGCATGTTGACCCTGGGTTTTGCGAGAAATGATAGGAATCACCGGGTAAGGCACCCAAATCCTCCTCCTCGAGCGGGCGCTACCGAAATTTTCAATTGACGAGAAGAGTCCGAGCGCGGTGGCGCGACGTTCCGCATGGTTGGCACGTTGTGCTGCGGCCGTATGTATTGTGGAAGCTTAGCTTAGGCAGCAACCACTTCGACAAATAGCCCCGTGTCTGAAGAGATCTTGATCGAATCCCCTACTTCGACGGCAGCGGGCACATGAACCTGGGTGCCGTTGGTCAGAGTCGCTTCTTTGCCATTCCCAGCACCAGGAACGGTTTTCTATGCATGGCACCACATAAGATACGTTGACACCACGGTAGGGTCGTGATGTACTTCGACAATGTGAACGACATGGTCGGGTAAATTCATCCACAGAGGTGTTCCTTCGACGATTTGAAGGGTCACCATAGTTCCTTCGCTCAAGTACTTGAGCTGGTTTTCTTGCAAAATGTCCGTTCCCACTTCAAGCTGCTCCAGCCCGTGAGATTCCCTTAGCTCTGCGCCCGGTCCTACCTGTTCGAACGTGGATGGCTCCATCAACACGAGTTTGTTTCCGTCATTGTAGAGGAACTGAAACGAGCGGTCTTTGGTCAATGGTGCCTTCTTCACAGACTCCGACGATCGGAAGCGACGGTTGATCTTGTGTCCAGTCGTTAGCTCCTTGAGCTCGGCTTGCATATACGCCACGCCCTTCCCTGGCTTCACCGATTGACTCTTGACCACGCGATAGAGCTTCCCATCGACCTCGATGGCTACACCAGGGCGCACCTGATTTCCTGTGATGTGGACACTTCTCGCGAAGGGACGAAGAACGGTAGTCCCGGCGACGACGCGGCTGCACGCTGCTCGCAGCATCGCAATTGTCTGAATTGTCTGGTGATTGTGCTGCCCAAAGGTTCCAATCAGCATGGAGCACGAATTTTATCCAATAGGATCAACCAAAATTCAACTTTTGTCCAATCAAATTTGTTTATCTTTGACAGCAATGCTTCATTGGCCATTGATATTGAACAAGCCGCCTGATTGGTAAAAAATTGTTAGGCACAATTCTTTGAAAATGGCGGGAGGACCCGACGGCAAGCGGAGGACACCTGTGAAGGCCGAACGCCGTCATTCAAGCTCTGAAGAGGACGACTCGTCAGACGAGGAAGACCAACGAAGTCGACCAAGACCACGCACGATTGAGGAGTGGAAGATCGTGATTGAAGAGGAAGTCCAACGTACTGTCCCCGAAGCTCTCCAGCAAGTCGTGGCGAATGCAAGGAACCAGCGGCACGACTTGTTGAGATTTGCCTTGGAAGGCGTGACTGCCGCTCGAAATCTTGCGCCTTTGGCCAAGGTATATTCCAGCGAACTATTGGACGACCTGAAGCAGCTCACCAAGGACTACGTGCGCACCCAAGGCCACATTGGACACTTCGATGCAAAACTGTCCGAGCTTCATGAAGAGCTACAGGCCGGCCGTGTCCCCAGTTCGTTTGATCATCTTTTAAAAGTGGATTGGTATCCAGCAGACGACGACATTCTGAACAAGCACGAATATGTTAAGCTGTTCGACGCTGTTGCGGGGGTTCGCCTTGCCCAGATCTTTCCATGTATCATCCCGTCCACGTAGATCGAACGGGAAGAGGATGAAGACGAGGACGTAATGGTGCAAGAGTCGAACAGCCTGCGCAACATGTCTTGCCCCATCACTCAGATGATCATGCAGGATCCCGTCAAAAAGTACGAGACCTGCTTGGCGCCATCGTGACGATGTCGTCAACATATTTTGCTCCTATAGTCCCGAATGCGGTCACACGTACTCGAAAGTTGGTATCGAAAGCCATTTGAAGCACAAACAGAGCTGTCCTGTCGCTGGTATTCCTCGCTCCCATGATCGAACTCGACCTTCTCATGTACATGCAGGATGCCGCAAGCGTGTACAAAACCTCGAACCCGACGTCGACATGGAGGTCTTGATCGCCAAGTACGTTCCATCTTCGATTGAAAGCTCGGATCGATCCTTTCTCTGTGCAGTCGATCAAGAACTATCTCGGCCCCAACTGCTGCGGGAGCCACTGCCGTCGACTCGGACTCGGAAGAAGAACACATTGTCGAATAGCACGATGTCCTGCTTGCTTTCCCTTCTTCGTCCTCCATACCGTTGTCACTTGCGAATGACGTTGTTACGTTTTCCATCGAGCGAGTGGTCGGGGGGTTGTTGGTCACGGTCAAATCGGTAGAGTTCGTAATGTTGGATGCAGCGTCTGCATCAATCCAAGTCCGCTCGAGCAAGGTGGTTAGATATCGAGGTAGAAATAGAATGTTTATTGCGCGCTTTGAATAATGTCGACAAATTCGGGCTTGAGCGACGCGCCGCCGACGAGAAATCCGTCCACGTCATGCAACGCAATGAGCTCCGCCGAGTTCTTGGCGTTCACCGACCCGCCGTAGATAATGCGCAATTCACTCGCGACTTCAGGGTTGATATGGCTCGTGACGTACGCGCGGAGGTTCTTGTGCGCATCTTGAGCTTGCTCGGGGGTGGCAACCACACCGGTGCCAATGGCCCAAACGGGTTCGTACGCAACAACGATACGGCTCCACTGGCTCAAGTCGTTCGACAGCAAATCCGCGACGGCCTTCAACTGGCGCGTGATCACGTTCAAGGTTTGATCCGCCTTGCGTTCTTCCAACGTTTCACCCACACACACAATCACATTCAACCCCTTGTCTAACGCCCGCTTGGTCTTTTCCGCAACGACAAAGTCCGTCTCGCCGTACAGCGCGCGGCGTTCCGAATGTCCCGTCAACGTCCACTGAATGCCCAAATCTATGTCAATCTTGTCGTCAAATTGAATGCATCGAGTTGGAAGGGACAGACGTACCGACAAGGTGTTCGGCAGCGATTTCACCCGTGTATGCGCCGGGACCAGTCAAGCTGACGTTCTGGGCGCTCACTTGGATTTCTGGCTTGAGTTGGGCCTTGGCGGTGGCAAGGTAGATCGCAGGGGGAGCAATCACGACCTCAACAGACTCGTTGTCGACCGTCACGCCGTTGAGCATTTCAATCAGCGACGCCACCGAAGCTTGGGTTCCGTTCTATAGATACCCATGAGACCTTGATATACTCAACAGACCGAAGTCGACGTACGCTCTTCCAGTTGCCGCCGATCACGTACTTGCGGGCCATGTTGGATGCGGGGGGATGCTGACTAATTGCAAAATGAATTTCGCAGACATCCATGGCGAGTGTGGCGTCTTTGTACCCGAGTCGCTTGCTCCACATTTATACTTGAAACTTGTATACTCGAACGAAACCATTCGCGATTGGACAAAATGCACCATCGATTTTCTATACTTTCTGAAATATGATACATTTTCCCATGCAACAAGTTTGATACCATTGTTGGATCAAGTGCCTAATGCATGCAACGATGCAAATGCATCCACATGGTTCATGAGGCTGGGGATAACACCTGCTACATATACCACCACTTGCGGTGACATCTCTTTGCCAAACCATCCACATCCGCGCAATCCACTTTGTATGGAAGAGAATACAGAAAATTAAAAATGATACCCGGAAATGTATCATTGTGCCATGTCAATTTTCGTATCGACGTCATGTGTGAGACATGACGAGTCGTCGTGCAACTACCCAATCCGAACAAAGCAAGTTCAAGAACGATTGTTGATTGGTCAAAATCATAGAGAAATATCTGTGACGTCGGCGGTGTCATGACTCTCTCATCCGAATTCTTCTCGAAACGAAATTTCATTCAAATGGCGAAGCGCAACGAGTGCAGCGCCAACCAGGCAGGAAGTGCTCAGCTGCAGCAAGGCAGCAGGCAGAGCCAAGCTGGGTGTGGGTCTCGTAGTCTTTCAGTTCGTTTCTATCCGTGGGGATTTCAGAGACAAACGTCATTCGACCACGAGGATCCATCTCCCGCGAGCCACATCGGAAGAACGTCGCAACCAACGGGTGGCGCTGTGTTCGTCCCAGTCGTCATTCACGGTCGAAACAATGGCACATCGCACACTCCGCACGCGCGAGGGGCTACCTCTCCCTTCCTCGGTCTGTCCAGACGCGAGACTTCGACAGACCGAGAAAGGGATTTAGCCTCAGCAGCCCGATGCCGACGCGTCTTCGCCGCTTTCTTTCGTGATTTCGAGCGTCGTGAAGATCTCGGCCGTCGTGGGGTGGATGCCCACCGTGTTGACAAAGTCGTCGTACGTGGCGTGGAGCTTCATGGCAACCCCAATCGCTTGCGTCACTTCACCGGCGTTCGGGCCGAGGTAATGGAACCCCACCACGCGCTTCTGCTGGGTCGTGTCCACAATCAGCTTGGCGTAACACTCCTTGGCCAACGGCCGCTCGTGGGACAAGCTCCACTCCAACGGGGTGAAGTTTTGATGGTACACTTGAATGTTGTCGCGGCCGGCAGATGCAATCGCGTCTTCCTCCGACAGTCCACAGCACCCATACTCGACAGGCGTAAACACCGCCGTGCAGATCTTCGTGTAGTCCATCAAGGCCGTGCCATTGCCAAAGAGGCGGCGGGCCAACAGCTTCCCCGCTTGGATGGCAACGGGGGTGAGCTCCGGAGCGTCGATGACGTCGCCGATCGCGTAGATGTGCGGCGTCGACGTCTGCTCGTTGGTCACGTCGATGCGGCCCGACTTGGGGTTGAGGGTGACCCCAGCAGCCGGCAAGTTGAGCATTTGCACGTCCGGACTGCGGCCGGTAGCGTTGAGGACCGTGTCGTAAATGCCTTCGCCATGCGTGTGGGTGACCTTGAGCTGGCCGTTGGGCAGCTTTTCAATCGAGGTCGGCACCGATTCCTTGATGAACGCAATGCCGCTCTCGTTCTCCATGTACTCACCAATGCGGCGCGCAATGTCTTGGTCGAAACCGCGCAGCAAGATCGACCTCACCATGATCGTCACGTCAAAGCCCTGGCCCTTGAGGAACCCCGCGCATTCCAACGCAACGTACGACGCACCGACAACAAGGGTTTTCCCCGGGGCTTCCGCCTTGGAAAAAATGTCGTCACTCGAGATGGCATGCTCCCAACCAGGGCAGCTCAACGGCTTGGGACGGCCGCCGACGGCAATCACGGCACGACGGAAGGTCACGTCCGTCGGCCCCTTCTTCTTGGCCTCATTCGTCAGCGTCAGCGTGTGCGCGTCCTTAAACGTGCCCAACATGTTTTCGTACTTGACCTTCTTGTCGCGCAAGTCGATGCGGTACTTAAAGTTGAGGCCGTGGATGTAATCTTGGACAGACGACACCAGCTTCGTCCAGTCGAACGAAGCGTTCGAGACGGTCCAGCCAAACTGTTCTGCATCCTTGTGCAGGAGCTCACCGATGATCGAGCTTTGATGCATCAATTTCTTGGGAATACATCCAACATTCACGCACGTGCCACCGAGGCCCCAGGTCGACCCAACGGGAGAAGGCTTGACATAGTCCAAAACAAGCACCTTTTGGCCAAGCTTGGATGCCTCTTTCGAGCACGCGAGACCGCCTGACCCACCGCCGATGACGACCAAGTCCCAGTCGTATTGGGTTTCATCCGACGACGACGTGTCCGACACATGGGCGTTCGCAGCCGAGGGAGCGCCGGTCGAAGGGGCACTTTGAGTGCGAGCACGAAAGAACGCAAGCGTATCGTCACATCCTCCCACAAACTTGGGGGTGTCGTCTTGTTCCAAGTAGCAAAACGGCGACGACTTGTGCTTCAACGGGCGCGCGTCGTTGTCGAATTGGCGGGCAAATTCCGTTTGGGATTCGTTCAACCAGTTGGCAAACGACTCCTTGTTCGGGTGTTCATGGATCGTCGCCTTCACCTGCGACGGGAACAAGTGTTGCATCGACGATACGACACTCGCCGCCTTGACATAGTACGGACCTACACACCACCCGTCCACGATGAGTACCCCACAGCGGAGTTCGATTGTCACGACGCACACTGTTTCCACCCTACAACATGGTAGTTGATGGTCGACATCTTGCTGCTTTGACGGCGCAACGGCGGCGAAGTCCACACGGATGACGTGACCCGCCGACGCGTCGAAATGCGAAATGACGCGTGCCTGTGCATGACAAGGCAGAAAAGTGTCTGGCGAAGGGCGCAACCGGGTGTCCGGATACTGTCAGCCAATCAAACGGCTCCTTTCTACGTTATCCGAGCAGAATCCGCCAATCACGTGGCGCATCCGCCGCATGTGGTGCGGAGAAGGCCACCGAAATCTTTGCCATGGAACATGGCGCAGATTCGTGCATGCACTCGATTGTGTGGTTACATGGCGTTCAAGCGAAGTCTCGCTGGGACAAGTCGGGATGGATGGGGAATTCGGATCCGATACTCTTTCGCGCGGCAATCTAGGGGAGATGTGCTGACGTCGAATGCCTGTGCGACGACGAGGTGACGTACCATGCCGAGTTTACTGCTACGGACAATTCCATGGCCTTGGAGCAGCCCATACACTGCTCCTCCCACGAAGCTGTCGCCTATGCACGTGTCAACATCCAGAGTTCGATCGAGGCCTCCGTACCGGCCCCTGTACAGTTGGAGACAGCCATGGGGATACCGGGGAGGTACACAAAGGATAACCCATCGGCAATTCCCAACACAATCTCATCGGGGGCGTCGGCAGGCTGCACTGGAGCAGTCGTCCCAACGAGCACGCCATCTCGTCCGAGAGTTACCACGACATGCACGTCTTCGCCTTTGTCGCCGCGCATGCTTCTCGCAGCTAGGCGCACATGAACACCACACCATAGTCGGGTTCATGAACGAGGTAGAGATGGCGGCAACTCACCCGTTGCAATGTCCCGGACGACTTGAAGTCCATCGCGCACGGGAAGTTTCGCCGCTGCTGCCGCCAGGGCTTGATCGTCCATTGCCACCTTCGTCGCCATCGTGGACTCGGCGAGCGCATTGCAAATCGCGCGGAGTTCATCCGCATTGGGCGAAATCACATGCAGGCGATGCATGGACTCTACCGCTCGGACAGCCTTTTCCACCGACGTGGGCTCGAACCACAAAAGGCGACGGCGGTTGGCCGCGAGTGGCTCGGTGACTTGGCGTATCTTATCCGACGACAGGTTCCCATCGAGGACGACTATGCGCGCAGACGCGAGCTTGACCGACACAGACTCGCCCTACGCCACCGACACGGACGTCGCTTCGCGGCACCATGCATCGCGGACGGCTTACCCATTCGAGGTTGTCGAGGATCGTCATGTCCGCAATGGCAACGTCCAAGTCGCCGCATGGTGTCAAGACGGCGCAGTACGTCGCGGTTGCGTGGTTGGGCACGGCAATGACTCCCGACAAGTCCATCTCGAGGCTGTCGAGCTGCCGCAAGAGCCCGTCGCCGCACGAGTCGTGACCCACATTCGATACGAGGAGCACGGGGACGTCGAGTCGATGCAAGCATTCGGCCACGTTTCGTCCGACGCCTGCGTGCCCGTGTCGGTCAAGTGGCTCCATGTTGAACGTCGTACCGCCCCATGTCTGCTTGGTGTGCCCGATGTTGGATGTGCCGCGCACAAACTGCGTCGTGGGTTTTGAGATCACGTCCAAGACGGCGCCGCCTACGATGACAACGTCGGGGGTTGTCGAGTGAAGGCGCGGCGATGTCGGCAGGGAAGCCGTCGTTGGAGGAATTAGCGGGCGAGCGCGATCTGCCAGCGCACGTGCGATCTAGCCACGAATTCACGTTTTTCAGGACAACGGGAGTGCTGAAACACGAACCTTGGCCCCCACGACCGCGTTGTTTTTGACGAGGGCGATGTTGGACGTGAGCGACTCCCCCTTGGTGAGCTCTACACGCCATGGAGTCACTCCTCGAGAGACGGCACGTCGTCAAACACTACCATTCACGCGCTGGAGCAAGAATGGCGTGATGGCGTTCCCGCCAACTCCCTGCGCTTGGCACTCGGCGAGGCCCTCACGGATGGCCTTGTCGATCATCTCTTCGTCCACGGGCGCTGGGTTCGGAACGGCTACGATGAATCCGTTGGGCAGGTTCAGGTCCTGGCTTGTGCGGATCAGCAACGCAACGTCTTCCGGGCTGTCGAGCTGCATGTGCGCCTTGCACCCGCCGCTGGTCGTGCTAAAGAACGCGGGAAAGTCGCGGGTCCTGTACCCGACGACAGGCACTGCCTACGGCATCCCTTTTGATTCAACAACGTGAATGCCGCATCGTGAACGAGCATTCGACCAACCGACCTGTGTCTCGAGGTATTCCAACGTGCGAGGAATATCCAAGATCGACTTGACGCCGGCGCACACCACCGCCACAGGCGTGCGAGACAGCTCCATGAGGTCGGTCGAGATATCTGCTTCATGTCAGCCGTCTCCAACGTTATCATGCATCGAGTACCCATCGTATCTTCGACATATCGATGGACGCCGCCAATGCCGCCGGTGACAAACACCGTAATCCCCGCGGCATGGGCAATTCGCCTACACACCGACATGAGATGCACGGCGTGGCCATGCGTACGAACATAGTGCTGGACACAGTCGTGGCGCCTGTGCCGCGTCTGGCAATCACGGCAGCGATATCTCGTGTGGAGCACTTCGTCGCCTGGGTACCGAACGACGCCAACGAATGCAGCTGCTCCTCGGAAAGCCCGACACAAATCTCGCCGTTCAAAATGGCAATCGTCGCTGGGCACGCTCCGTGTTGACGGATCAATGCTTCCACTTCCGTCGCCATGGTGAAATTTTGCGGGTACGGCATGCCATGGCTCACAATCGTCGATTCCAGGGCGACGACGGGTGTTCCAACTCGAAGCGCGTCCTGCACCTCCCGCGAGATCTTCATGTGCAACGCACGAGCGGATGTGCGCGCCGGTACAAACGATTGCGAGCTCCACCGGTGGATGGCTCGGGCCATCCTTTGCCGAAGCATCCTGCGGTTCGATATGCCACACACGGCTGGCGTTTTTTCGGTGGCAACAATGCGCACCAAACCCCCAAAACCCAGCCGTCGGTGCAATTTCATTAATGGGTATTTCTCAAGCTCGTCCCACGAGTGGAAAAATTTCTCACGATCGTCCACGTTGAACATTCACGAGGTATTTTTATTCCAAATCATCCATCGCGGCATGATTGGCTAAAAACCTCATGAGCTGGGAGGACGCGGCTTGCCTGGCATGGTGGACCAGGTGTACATCGAAAGTCGCTAAGTCATACCGCTCGGTGGCTGTCGCGCTCCGTGTGGCGTCGTAGACGGCGGGTGCGGTCGGTGATTACAGGGGGCCGCTGAAATTCTGGAAGGAGATGACAAAATCCCACCTGGGACTGACTTCCAACGATTTTAACCTCGTTAGACTTTTAGCCAATCATGGCGTGATGGACGATTTGGAATAAAAATACCTCATGAACGTTCAACGTGGACGATCGTGAGAAATATTTCCTCTGGTTGGACGATCTTGAGAAATTCCCTTTCATAAATTGGAAAATTGCCCAAATGGGTGCGTGTTTTCCTCTCAAAATAGTCAAATTCATCCATCAGATTGTTTCCCGACCGACCATCGACGGATCGACGATTGGACAACCTTGGACGTGCTCATGATGGACGACGTCGAGGCGATCTTGAATTCGATGGCGGCCAAGACGGGCAACGTGTCTGCCATAAGCGTCGACGAGCCGACCCTTGCACGCTCGAAACCTGCGCCCAAGAAGCGGATGAGCGCGGTTGTTGACGGCGGCGACCACGCCACCACCGCGATTTGGAACGAGCACGTCCAGGTCGACGTGCGCCACGTGGCATCGTCCGAGCACAACATGCGGCCGTGCAACCTCCAAAGCGTATCGCCTGCATACGAACTCCATCGCCAAAAGTGCGTCCTCAAACTCAAAGCCAAGCTGCACGCGACCGTCGACCAACTCGGTCTCCCCAAGCTGCCCAACTCGGCGTACGAAACGTGGCAATTTTGCTCCAAGTTGGCCGCGCCAGATGTACAGAGTTGAACGAATGCGACGCGGTTGCCTCACTTGTGAACGAGAGTAGGGAGACCCACTGATCCCACATGCCGACAGCGACTACGCCGGTCTTCGAGACGAGCTTGTCGCGATCGGCGCGAATCGCCACGCTGCCAACAAAATATGCCGCGCCATGACTCAGGAAGCCCATCGAGTTGGTCAAAGCCTCTTGCGCATGACGCATGGAGGTGGAAAGAAGCGCGCAACGATCCGACCGAACGACGACCATTACCTCGTCAGCTACGGCGGCACGAGCCTGCGCATCAACAAAACTCACCTGGACAAACTCGAAACTTTATTTGGCCGACACCATGCCCAAGCCGGCGCAACATCGGCGTCGCAGTTCCCAGACTTTTTGTTCTGCCTCCTACTGCGCTACGAGTCGCTGGACGGCGGCGGGTTCCAGGTACTCTCGGCCATCTTGTGCCGATATCATCGACTTGTGCCATGTCTACAAGATGGAGGAGGGCGACAAAAACTCAACCGTAGGCGGCGCTGAACGAAGAATGTTTTGACGTGCTCCTGCGCCACTTCAAATGCAACATGGAGTGCTTTGCGTCGCCGTTCAACAGCCGCTACGGGCGCTTCTGCAGTGCCTTCCTCGACACGGACCGCGTCTTTGGGAGCTTTGGTAGTTTCTTTGACTTTCGCCCGACGTTTGGGTGCGTGGCCCGCTCATCCAGGCATCGCTCACGACGGGGTAGCTGCTTTGAAGCGAACCCGCCATTCGTGCCGGCCTTGATTGCCAAGATGGCGGCGCACATGACGACATGCCTTCAAAACACATCCAAGTCGCTGTGCTTCATCGTGATCATCCCAGCGTGGGAGCACACCGAGGTGCATTTTGCCATGTCTCGAAAACGTCGAGCTCTTTTGCTCAGTGCCGCCGACTTGACAGGGATGGCAGCTCTTGAAGCACAGCTCGTACAACAAGGAATACTTGGTGCTGTCCCAAAAACACCACGGGTATCCAGCTCCCATCCCTCGGCGCGTGCTCTACTATTTCGTGCGCAGGTACTGCGAAGGCAAGCAGCAGATGCGCCCGACTAGATACCGCATCGCGTCGTTCGATACGAGTGTGTTTTTCTGGCAAAACGCCAAAGCGGCGGCGCGATGGCCGGTGACAGAACGAGCGATCGAAGATCTCCGACGTGCTTTCAAGTCGAAACAGGCCGACGAGCGCGACGAACTCGGGCTCAAACACGGTGGCAAAAAGGTCAAGCGGGTCAAGCAGACAGAGTAGAAGCGATAACACGTTCTACGTCATGACTGATACCCCACAACGCATCCGGCGCATGCTGGCGGGATGGACTTGCAACGTCGCGACTTGCCGATTTCAATCGCTACACACGACGGGATGCATGGAGGGTGTACACTACGTAGTATCGATAGCGCGGTCCTTCCGGAAGGGTTCTCGATGTGAGGCAAGCGCGACGTCGACCGGCCGCAGTGAACCGAGCAGAGTTTTGAGAGGCCTCTCCGCCCAAGCGAGCGTTGTCGGCGCGTGTGCGGTGCGGGTGGCGCTGCCAAGCATCGCCATTCATCGCGACGGCCCCAACGACGTGTTTTCCTGCTGGGAGACCATCCGTCGGCACCCGCTGCTGCTGCGGTTGTTTTTGTTGAGACGAGGGTTTAAATGACGTGCACAGGCCCATCTGTATGTGCCACGTTGATTTGATGCATTCATGGCCCCCACTACAGCGCTTGGTACTCGGTCACAAACGTAGCAATACGCTCGAGCACGGCATGGCGGAGCCCTTCCGCTGGCCCATTCACAGCCAACGCGAGCTCCTTCAACTCCAACGGGTCGACCGGCTTCTTCTTGTACTGCACCGCAATCTGAAGCACAAACGATCGTGAGCAACTTCAAAAACTATCGAGGAATCCGTTGTACCTCGTAGTCGCCGTCGTTTGAGATATCTTGGAACGTCAGCTTGCCCTTGTATCCGTCCTTCCCGACCACCGTCCATTCAATGACGAATTCAAAGTCGAAGAGGAAGCGCTTCTTCCCGCGCACGACGCACACGGACGCGTCACCTTTGATATCCTTGACGTCCCCTCCACGGATCGTGTACGACCGAGAAGTCGCTTCGACGTTGCCAAGCAAGTCCTTCAACCGATCCTACTCAACATTCAAGACGATGCCACACCCTGCCAACGGGTACCTTTGCCCAAGACGTAAAGTCGCGCTGCTCGAACGTTCCTGCTGTGTTCCAAGCCGAGCCATCGTGGCTTACTGTTGTCGCCGCGGCGAGCTCGGGCACATCATCCAGCTTCTTGGGGGCGATGTCACCGATGAGCGACTTCTCATGCTCCGATTGCTCGCGATGAAAGTACGGCATCCCGTTCTTGTACCCGCGCGCATTCTCCAGGTCATCTTCTTCGGTCACAACCTCTCGTCGTACAGGTTTGGTCGCTTTCGTGGACGATGACGAGGAAGGCTTGGCGGACGACGACGACGTGCCCGACGCGGCGGCACCTTCTACTGGCCGCGGCTTTGAACGACCGGCAGAAGCAGTGTCCACTTTGTCTTCGGGTTTCTTGCAAATGCGTCGATGGTACGTCCAATCGCTTGTCTGGCATTGGCGATTGCAATACGTGGCTTTCTTGCAAATGGAGCACTTTAGCTTTGCGTCCACTTTGTTGCAGTTGCGGCAGCAGGACGACGCAGGGGCGGCCGCGGTCGTCCTAGACGATGCTTCTTTCTCGTCGTCCGAGTCCACGATGTCCTTGAACCGCGAGTAGTCGTTTGCGTCCGTGCTCGTTTTGCTCATTTCCAGGAAAATCACGCAATAATGAAACCACGTTAAATCCACACCAAACCAATGACGGCGAAGACGTTTCGAGAAAAACCATTCCCTTGGTTTAATGACCACAGGAACACACATTTTCCCATTAGAGCCATCGATTCGCCTCTATTTACGAACATCATGCCTTTGCCAGTATCCGGAACAGGGCCAACAAACTGTCGTGTGGTTGTAAAATCCTCATCGCGCCGCCGTGATAGCAGAGCCGTTCGCCTGCATCCAGCGCGGCAACCAGCCACGCACTGCGCCGACGTCATGCACGGCTCCCATCAAGGAAGGCATCCCCAAAACATCGTTCTTTCTAGCGAGACCTAGGAATCCTGGAAACTACAAATGGAACCTCCGAAGCTTGCGCTCACGCGGTACCATACACAGTGTCGCGTTGCAGCAAGGTCGTCTTCTCGCATGCATCGCCGTTTTCGCCATAGTTTGATCGATCCATGAGCGTCTTGCTGCCGTGCTTCATGTAGTAGAGCGTGAGCGCGCCGACGATGGCGCACACGGCTGGCAAGATGCAGTACGCGGCGCGGACAAACGCGCCGTCTTCGGCCGTGGTCGACGGAAACTGGGCCTGGATGGCTTCGCGCTCGTTCTGAATCCAGAGCACCGCGACCCCGTTCGAGATCTTGTCGGTGAAACTCATCGCGCCGTACACGAACGCGCCGCTCTCGCAGCTGTCGCCGACCAAGTCGCCCTCGAGGCACACGGACGTGACCATGATGATCGAGTTGCCAAAGCCGAGGAGCACCGACAGCACGTAAATCCACGACGACGTGTCCGGCGTCAAGAGCCACGCGAGAGCGAGCGACAGCGTCACGAGCGCCGCGCCCGCCGCATACGTCCCTTCTCGACCCATCTTTTCGTTCATCCAGCGCAGAGGAAACGTCGCGAGGAACCTAGGACACACGTCAAGAATAACGATCGAGACAGAGCGGCGACGGACCCCGACACGTAGACGAGCAGCGGCACGATCGCGATGGACGTAGCAGACATGTCGAGCGTGACCGTGAGCAGGAACGGAATGTAGACTTGGGTCACGTTGACCGTGAGCCGCGTGCACATGTACACGACCCCGACTTCGTAAAACATGCCGACCTTGAACCAGTCGAACCACTTGAGCGCGACCGCCGTCGAGTCCATCGCCGCGACGAGAGGCAGGTCCGCCTCAAACGTGAGAGCGTTCGGCCCGCGGTTCAGCGCCTCGCCGTGCGACGGACTCGGGGTCAACCGACGCTTGGGCGGCGACGGTGGCATCTTGACCACTTCGTCCGTGCCGAGAAGGAACCACGCGGTGCAAATGCCGCCCACGACGAGCGATACGGTCGTGAGCAGAGTAAACTTGTACGCGTCGGGGACCTCGAGCGGGTCCACGTCGTGGAGCAGCAACAGAAACACGACAAACACGACGACGTTCGACAGGATCGTGAACGCGTACCGAGTGCTGTTCAGGACGCACCGAATGTTGTCGTTCGTGGTGAGCTCGGGGACCTACGGCCGGCCATCAGGTCGGGTCCACAAGCCATGCGTACCATGGCCATGTGCGACACTTGGACAGCGGCCCACCCGACGTTGAACACACTCGCGCTGACGCAGTAGTACACGACGAGCGTCAGTCGCGACGGCGACGCCGTCAACAGCTGCGGCACGCACGTGCCAAACACTCCGTAGAAACACACGACGACGAGGACGGACCCACCCGCGAGCCACGTCTTGCGTCGACCAAACCCGATCGCGGGAAACCCGGTCGACTTGTCCGACACGACTCCCACGAGCGGCGTCGCAAGACCGTCGGCGATTTGGCCCGAAAACATGACGAGCGCGCTGTCGACGGGGGACAAGCCCGCGACGCCATTGAGAAACACGAGGAGGTACGAGAACCAGGACGACGCGCACATGTCGTTGAGGACATGGCCGACGGCGTACGCGAGGATCTTGGTGCTGGTCCATGCCGCGGTGCGCGGGGATTCGGCTTCCTTCATGCCGGCGGACTTGTCGAGATGGCAGCCGGGGTGTGGGGTGCGTTTGCGATACGAACCCCAATCGAAACCATGATCCGGTCGGCGTCATCTTTTCCGATATCCATCCGGATAACAATGATCCCGTTCGGATAAAATTCCTGCTGTGTACAATGGGTTAGTGGACGGAGACATTTGGCTGCTGATTGAGGTCGACCGCCCACATCAAGAGAGGTCGTGGCGTTAAACAGGGCGCCGCTCTTGTGTGGCTAGACAGCGCGTGTGTGACGAGGGAGGCGTTGAGTTGCCCTGAAGCACTAAGGCGTGAAAACGACCAAGGGGGCAGGAGTTTTTGCCCCCATCCCTTGGGCTATTGGTCACCCGACTTCTTTCCTTGATGAGCTAAAGACAGCACATCCCTCGTGATGGATGAGGCTGGCTCAGGTACGTACTCCACCGCTACCTTGCGTGTGTCTATGCATGAATACCCAAGTACGTGGGGTATAGCGTCGGCGCCACCGCCGAGTACTGGTCGCATGTCTGTGGTTAACATGACGAAAGTTGCACGCATCCACGTTACATCACGAACACCACCAATGAAGGTACCAGGAAGTGCCACGTAGTGTATCCGACCCCCCACGACGGCGGGCAGTCGTCGTGCACGAATGTTTCAAGTCAATAGTTGGTCGTAAGGAGCGGCCGTCTGGACAAATCGAGCGGGATGTGGAGATGACGGCATGAGTGCCACAAACGCTGGCCGGTGGTTAGCGTAACGCTTCATTTGCCCGAAAGTCGAGTCTGTTGGATTGCGAGGAGCATGGCAAGCGACTCCGTGAAACGACTGGGAAGAGCAGCATTGGACGCAGCGATGCGGCTTGAGCTGGTCATCGCTGCCGTGTCGTTGGACGAAAGGGGACTCGCGCTTCAGCCGACTTCGACATGAACCTCGCGTAAGGGCGAGTCCACCGACGACGTCCTATCGAGTCAGGGTCGACAGGTGATCGGTTCTCGTTGACGCAGTGGAAGGTTCGTTCCAACGTTCCGTTCATGCCG